CACAGATTTGGGCCAAGATATATAGACAATTTCTGCATACACAATGTTTTATTCCATAGGTATTCCTATGAGAGCCCAAAATAACATATCCCATTGAGGTGACTGTGCATTCCAAAGCTCCTATGCTAGGTAGGAGTCTGCAGATCCTCAAAGGATTGTGACGCTTTAATTAAATATTGAATGAGCACTCTCCTGAAAGTGCTTTGCAAAACAACATACTCCATCCCATTACTACCAACAAAGTAGTCACATTGCTTGCTTTGATGACAACACATGACCTTTCAATCAGCTACCAGAAGTAACAAAAGACACTTTTGCAGATCTGCAACATGTGCTCAGAAATAGAATTGCTGCATGAATCATTTTATTTATTTTATGTGCAATGTTTTTTTTTAATTTTATTTCTGAAACTCACAGAAAGATATTTTTAACATTAGCATGATTTACAGCTTCAGTGTAATGGAATGTGGGGATGGCCTTGAGAATCACAGGCTGGACAACCGGTATGTAAAAGGTGTCTTAGTTCACAGAAGGGGTGTGTGTATGTGTGTGTGTGTGTGTGTGTGTGTGTGTGTGTGTGTGTGTGTGATATGGTGAATGTTTCAGAAAAGACCCTTCTTGGTTTTACAAATAGTAAAAGGAAAGGAGAAGAGGAATACTTCCAGTGTGGCAAGATTCTTTTAAGAGAAACATTACAATAAAATAGAGTTATTACTCTCGCTTCTGCTTCTTGTCTGCACTATCTTACAAGACTGACACCATGGATGCAATATAATCGTTCTTCCTCCCCTCCCCTCTGCCTTAATGCAATTAGGTGTTCACTTCAAATTCTGTCTTTGGAGAAACCTGATCTCCTTAAATGCTTTAAATGCCTTTTCTCTGTGCCTCTATTGTTCAGTTGATTTCTCCCTGGCTAGCTGCTCCTCTTTTCTCTTACCCTCTGTGAACAATTAACGCTAAAGGAAAAATAGGCATAGAGACAAAAATGGAAGGAAGTTTAAGTTTCTCTCAGTATTTGATTCTAATCAACTCTTTTTCCATTTTCTATGAGAGTTTTAGTATTTACAGCATTCCATGCCTGGTTTACATGGCTTATTTGACCTGATGCATATAACAGGACCCTCAGCTAGAATCTGAAAATACATTTTCAGTGCATTATTTTTAACCTCTGACATTTAGGCAAAATATAGGGGTACTTTACAATGAACACATGAAGTACTATTATCTAAGGTCCTAATTATTATGACTATCTATTGGAAACTAGAAGAAGTAACACTGAATATATATACAATAGTTGTTTATATTTAAGCAAGAATGATTCCCCTTTATGCAATATATCATACAACACGACAAAGAAAGTTACAGTTTGGCTTCTAAGGTGGCCAGGGTCATTAATGTCTATAATTTGACAAATTAGCAAATGTACAAAAAGGGGAAGTAAACACCCAATAGCTTGTTTGTTTATTATTTTATTTTTTGTTAAACTGATTTGGTTTTCTTACATATTTTTCTTTTTATTATCAAATGGAAACTTCAGTACCAAGTAACTAGCTCAAGACTGGAAACTACATTCAATTATTTTGATGTAATCTGCAACAGTTTCTTTTTCTCTAGCATTACACTTAGTTTCGTATGAAAAAGTCAAACTGTTTGCAATGTTGATATCCCAAATTGTAATTAATACTGATGGAGAGCCAGTTTAGTATGGCGGATAAGGCACCAAACTAGAAACTGAGAGAATTCTTGCCCCTCCTTAGGCACAGAGTCAGTGAGTGACCTTCAGCCAGCTCTTCTCTCTCAGACCTCAGAAGGAGACAATGGCAAACCACTCCCACTCCCAAAGAAAACTACAGGGAGGCAGTCACCAGGAATCAATATTGAGACACCCAATAATAATACTGATAGAATATTTCTTTCTTTACTTCTAATACTCTTAAATTATACAAAAATATCAATAACTTTAATTAATACTCTGTAAATAGCATTCTATCAAATCAATATAATGTATTAAAATTTACAAACCAAACTTTTCATGATATTCCATTCATATAGTTTGGCATTGCAGCCTCATGGTGAACTCATATTCAGAAGTAACATGATGTGCTCATGACTGTAAAAGAAAAATAAATAATGTATTAAGAAATAGAAAAATAATATTTTGATATCCATTAAGATTAATATTTAAAAATATACAATGAGCATAGTCAGAATAAAACTATGTCAAAATGTGTTTTAGTTACGAAAGTTGTGATGTGGCTTCCAGGCTTACATGCACTTTATTTCATTGACATGATGCAATTATCATTATAGCTGGTGTAGCTAAAAAAGGAACAGTAGAATCTCTAAATCAGTTTTATCCAGAAGCAAATTGTGCTGTCTGGTCCCAGTTTGTTGAACATTGGCTGTATACTGTTAAGTCCACAGTTCTCTGAGTTGATATGGCACGTGGAACAAAACATTAACATTTTTAATTCTCATTAACTCACATGAAAAGAATGTGAAATTGCTGAAGGTTGAGGTTGTAATTGCACATACTAACTGTATGTGGTTGCATAGTCATGCTTATTAGGAATTACAGGAGCTGAAATCCAACACTGAATTGTATCTTCATGAGAATCAAGTTTAAATCTGGAATTATATGTGTTCTGTGGAACTTATTACAAGGGTGCAGAGCAAAAGCTCATTTTCAATTTGTTATTCACAGGCCTTTTCAGGAAATACCAATGCTGACAGTGTGGTATATTACAAGCTTGAACATTCCATCAAGGCAAGGTTTCTACGATTTGTCCCTTTAGATTGGAACCAGAATGGCAGGGTTGGGATGCGGATTGAAGTCTATGGATGTGCTTATAGTAAGTAATGTCCTTTCCTTTACTGAGAAGAATGACACAAATCTGCAATATATTCGAAACTGCAATTGAAATACCACTTAATTAGGCTTTGCTTATTTCAACTACAGTAAAGACGTTTTGGAGGGAAGGATATTCAATACTGCATGTTAACAGCTTATTGTCTTTTTTTATCTTGATTTTTTGCAGACTGAGATCAATATCATGTAACACTGGAATTTATCTGCATAATTCCAAATTCCATCTGTAGAAGAGTTCTTTTTTTTTTCCTTGATAGGGATTGCTTCAAGATGGCATGGTGGGGTTGGGGTGAAATAATATTCTTTTTAATATTAAAAAAGACTGATAGATTGTCAGGAGTAACAAATGTGGTGCTATATTTTTCATGCGTCATTGGACATTGTGTGTCTGAATGTTTCAATTTATTTCTCTGTCCACTTTTTGGAAGATTGGGAAAAAAAATCAATAATCCCAATGTTCAGAAATACATGTGCACCACTTAAAGTGCATAATTAAGGTTTAATGTTAAAGGATAAATAAAACCAGAAATAACATAAGGATTATGTGCAACTATTACATCTGATGGATTTGTTAACTGATGTCTACTTGATAGATTACAACATGTTGAAAATAGACTAAACATGTAGCATGTTGTTCACTTGATGCCCAGGTTTTAATGGACTTATCTTTCCCAGTGGAAAGGCAGTAATTAAAAATAAAACAAAAGGGAAAGATGGGCTCAGATAGTTCCAGTATGTTTCAGTGAGGTTTATTTACAGAGAGATCATATAGAGTTGCAAGCGTGATTATTAATTTTATAGGGCAAGAAAGAAAACTGAAAAAAAAAACAATTGGTGCAACTCAAAAGAAGTCAAAGATTATAACAGGATCCTTTAAAACATTGCAGATACCCCTTCAGCAGAGATTATGGATTCTTTAATGGGGTTCCCAAAGATGAATTTTCAAAAGCTTATGCCCAAATAAAGCCTAATATAGCAAGTGTTTTGTCAAATGAAATAATATGAAATAGGAGCTTTCCATTGATTTGGAAGAGGACAGTCAATTAATTGAAAAATGACCTACTGGAAGCCTGATATATCTTCATTTACTTCACAAATGTAGCTTTCAAGAACTATTGCCTCTTTTGTCTTCTTTACTTAGGCTGTGTGAATGTGTTTGTGACTTATTAAATCACCCTTACTTACAGATTATGATAAATACTGTGTTATGCTAGTGTCTAATATCCTATTGAAAGTGCGCATCCATGAAAATGGCAAATTCATATACACGGCCATAAGCAGAAGGGAGGAAATTGTAAAGCATGTTTTGTGGTGTTGAAACACAAGCTTCTCCCTTTACATATTCATACCATTAGCAAGATTTAAAAAGGGCAATGTTTGCACTGTGATGTTGCAACTCAGGTTTCATTACAATTATTGTAGCTGCAGATGCCTCTGCTAATATAGAATGAGATAAAAGTGTATTATTAATGGCAAAATGTATATAACATTGGGGCAATAATGCATATTATATATGCAAATTGTGCCTGTTTCCCCACTTATAGAAAATGTACAATTGTTTTATTTCTATCTTATATTTCAGAATTTATCAAATGCTCTTGTAATATTGTATGTTTTGTAACTTAAAACCATATAAATCCTCCTTTTATAACCTCTGAAATCTCCATTGTTTTCCACTGTTATTCATATACATGACAAGAACATTTGTTTTCCTTTCAGGATCTGATGTAGCAGATTTTGATGGAAGGAGTTTCCTGATTTACAAATTTCAACCCAAATCCACAACGGCTCTAAAAGATGTAATTTCTCTGAAGTTTAAAACCAGCCAAAGAGATGGGATTCTGCTACACAGAGAAGGACAGAATGGAGATCACATCACATTGGTTTTAGCTAATGGGAAGCTTTCTTTACTCATCAATATAGGTATCAAATACACAGTCATATTGTCCCTCTTTTAATAATGTAACAAAAGAAATCTGAAGTCTCATATCTTCATCATCTCTGTTGTTTATCATAGCAAACTTAACAATTTGTTTTTCTCCTCTTGAAGGTGATGCTAAAATGTTTTCTGCTGATGCCCAGATTAATATCACTCTGGGTAGCCTTTTGGATGATCAGCATTGGCATTCAGTCCTCATTGAACATTTCAGTAATCAAGTGAACTTTACAGTTGATAAACACACTCACCATTTTCATGCAAAGGGAGAATTCAATTATTTGGACCTTGATGATGAGGTGTGAAAATTATCTTTCATTTATTAGAGTGATTATCGTTGTGATGTAAATGAGATTATGCGACTCAAGGATATTGTGAGATGCATAGTTGAGACTTTAGCCTTCTCTGCTTTCTGTAGAATTAACCAAATATGATTTTGTTATGAAACATGGTTTGGAAATTATTGCTCTGCAGCATTCAAAGCATGGACAATGAGAAAGTACAACATTAACAGGAAATTCAGCTTTATACTGATATTCAGTTGGGTATGCTAGTTTGTTCTCTGCTGAGTGAAATTGAATGAATTTACTTTCCTTTTTGGAATTGGTGGCAACACAATTTCACCAGCCAGTTCTCTTATACCTTCACTATTTGCTAGTAAATGTGCAGTGTTAATCATTAAAACAGGCATGGGAAGCATGAGTCCAGCTAAGGAAGGAACGGTCAAGAAATATTTTGCTCTCTGTGTTTCAGACAAAACTAAGTTATTTTAGAATGCAGTGAAGTTGCAGTGACCGAGGAAGTAAATTTTGAACTGAGCCCTCTATTTATGAAAATCCCCATTCTAATATCAAGACCCTTATTGTAAGAAATCGGTTCAAACTTCTTGTAAGAAAAGGATGGTCTGTGCCCTGCTGCAATAGTCTAAAAGAGAAGAAGACAATTATCAGAAAGTGAAAAAGAAAGTACCACTTACTATTTGCTTCAACCTAGCCAACTATGTAACCTCAAACATATTACCCCTGTGTTCTATTGAAAAAGTTGCCCAATCCTTCTCTAGACCAGTGGAAGAAGGCAATTGATCACTTTGTCATTGCACTAAGACATTTATTCTTTATCTTATCATCTTTCATCTCTCTGTAATGGTTTATAGAATCATATGGGAAATAGAACAAAAGTATCTGAGCATGAGGTAGTGATAAATAGGCAGAGTTTGTGTGAATTATTCAAAAGGCTGAGCAGCTTTATATATAGAATAAAGCTACTTGAATGCACAGGAACGTCCATGACTGTAACATCTGTGCAGAAGTTGCAAACCTGTAAATCTTCAAATATTGCTGAAATATAACTCCCAACAGCCATATGTATCATGGCCAATGGTGAATAGTGCTAGAGCAACAGTATGACAACATCTGGAAGACACAAGTTCTTCATCATTGGTTCAGAACAAGAATGATAACACGAGAAACAGGATGTATATCCTTAGTAAAAAAAATAGAAATAACAATACACATATTTGTGAAACACATGGACAGGTAATTTCATTGGACTGAGAATCACAGTACAATTTTTGGTAGGCATTTAGAATGATCACATGAAGACAGGATCTTTGCTCAGAACAAAACATCAACATAAAAAGGTTAAGTTATCACTATATACATGTAGATGTACAGTATATTTGTATCCTAAGTGTATCTGTGTGTGTGTGTGTTCTGAATTGATATTCACAGGTAGGCATTGTTCAATTAGAAATGACAAACACTTTTTATTCTCTTAAAATGACTATTGAATAAATCTTCCCCTATCCAAGAATTAGAACATGCTTGTTTAGGGTATTTTTTATTGTCTTATTACCTATGGAAATATTCTTAAGGTTTGCATTTTAACCTGCAATTTATGTTAACGCATTTACCAATTGAAAAGAGGTTTTGAATAAATAAAAAAGAAAGTGATGCTAAATTGGGTAAAATGGGAAGTGCTGTTTTTATTCTGTTGCTAGTGTTTTTGTCATCAAAGTTGCAAACAGATTGTCAGAAAATTATTTAATACTGTTATTGATTTTTATTCTTTTTCTAAGCTCAGCTTTGGAGGGATTCCAATGCCTGGAAAATCTGGGATATTACTATGGAAAAACTTCCATGGATGTTTTGAAAATATTCATTACAATGGTGTGAACATTATTGATTTGGCAAAGAGATATAAACCTCAGATCAACATAATGGTGAGAATAAACACACACACTCATTCTTTTTCCCTTATAGCCTCACTGCATAGTAATATTCAAATTGCAATTTAAGGTTGCTATGTATTTAATTCTGAAAAATAAACTTAAGTAAACTATCGGAAATAATTTCCTCTTCCCCTATCCCTTCCTTTTAACTAGGCCTATGAAAAATCTTTCTGATTGAAATGGTATAATAAGAGAAGAAGGTGGTGGTGGGGGAATGAAAAGGCATGAGTCTTATTATGGCTTAGTGTCTCCTTCTACCAACTACCTCTGTTCATCTTGAATTGTTCAGAAGGCCACTTGGTTCTTGTTTAGTTTTTTCTGTGGTTATAAAACCTTGAGTGGCAAAGGAAACAATACAGTACAGAGACAATGCACTTCAACCACCATTTTTTAAAAATGAAGTTACCTTAGGATGTATATACCTTTACTAACTTCAGTTCATTGGCTTAAATTGACACTTATATATATCACTTAATATATTTGTAAAAGCTGCAGTTCCTATTGTTAATTGTGTGAATATAGGTTTAGATTAAGGCTAAGAGCCTAAACATAGCCCCAAAATATTGCCTCCTGATGGAATAGGTGATAGTGTCAAAATATTGAAAAATGCATGTTTAGTTATATATTTTCATCATCTATGTAAAACTGTGTGTTCATGTGCATAGTTAATGAAATACAAAAAAAAGAATAAAATGACAGAAAGTTAGGATAGAGAAGGAATGAAAAGAAATGCCACAGGAAAATCTAGTTACATATATTTAAAGTTTAGATTGAAAAATAAATAATTATTTGAAACTTTTCTGAATTTCTAGAAATGGGACTTAAACAAAATATATTCAGTTCTCATTTTAACATAATTTTATGCAATTAAAACTTCCTGAACTTTTCTGCAAACTAGAACAATTAAATGCCAAAATCAGCACTTTTCCTGATACTGTGATGCAATTTGCAGCATAAGACATATACAAAAATGTACACATTAGATTAAAGGGAGTACAACTATTCGCATATAGATAGAAAGGGTGAAAGAATTGCTTGGGGGAAAAGTATGTTTAATGAGAAAAGGACAAACTTAGAGATGTAAATTGGGAAAATGATACCTAAATGTATAGCTACCTCTATACATGTATCTATATTATCTATCTCGATATCTACATGTATAGTTCAAAAGTTCAGTTTTCTGTTTTTGTAAAGAATAGATTATCAACCTTCTACTCTTCAAATACCTAATACTTATGAGGGGTCTCCAGATTATTTATTTAATCATGTATTGACTAGCAACCTTAGCTAGATGCTTCTAGTTCTGTATTTTTATCAGTACAGACTGCTAGCTCTCATATGGATGGCATTTGCTATTTAAAATATGACTTTTCATCACTATCTTTTCTTGAAGCAGCTGAACAATATACAACTGCTATCCATAATTTCTGATCATAGCAACAGGCAAATTAATCTTGGTTAATCCTCTCCATTTCTGCATTGGCCTAATGTTTATCTTATTTTCTTTGTTTCCAGGGCAATATATCTTTCTCCTGTTCAGAACCTCCAATTATTCCTGTCACCTTTTTGAACCCCAACAGCTATTTAGCATTGCCTGGAACAGCAGGAATAGATGAAATTTCAGTCAGTTTTCATTTCCGCACCTGGAACAATGAGGGACTGTTGCTATCAAATAAACTATATCAGACTTCAGGTGGCCTCCTTATGTATCTCAGTGATGGGAAAGTTAAGCTGAGCTTCTATAAACCTGGAAAGGCACAGAGTGATATCACTGCAGGTGAAGCAAAAAGGAAAAGAAGCAATTTCTAAAATAAATGCTTGGACTAGCATCAGAATTCTGGTGACAATATTTTGTGTGTTTATCTTTTAAGTGAGAAAAATATGCTTCATTTATACCAGGTTTCCCCAGTGTACATGGGGATTCAAATACCAGAATTCCCCAGTTGACATGGCATTAGATGAGAATTCTGGCACTCTGATCTTAAACATCTGGAGTTGGAAAGTTTGAAGAACACCAAAGTTGCTCAATAGGGGAAATGTTTGCTGCAAGGCTTCCTACAGAGCTCAACTTCATATGTCATTCAGCTGAAATAATTTGAATAAAGAAATATGTGATGTACTAAGTACACAGAGAGTTTACTGCCTAATACAGAATATTTATTATAAATTGCCTGTCTGGATCTCTAGAAGATAGAGTTCTGGACCAGATAAAACACTTTCCCTTCCTTTATTTCAAATCTAAATCTCTAAATCTCTATATGATAACAGAGATTGATTGCAAGAAGTCAAATTGTTGAATTCAGTAATTTGAGCATAATTCTAAATAATTCTTACAGTTGCCTTAAGATTACATTTGGGGTTGCGTGATGTTATGCTTTCCAGATAAAATGGTACAAGTTCCATCATTGTTAACTTTCATGGCCATTGAAGGTCATTCCAATCCAAAAAGTCAGTTTAATTTACACTTAGCACTGGAGAGAAATTTTCCTTGAACTTGCTTAATGAATATCTACTTGTGAGGTCATTAGACTATAACACAGGAACAGCCACACTCATCTAGTCCAGCATTCTGCTTCCACAATGGTCAATTATTTATAGGAAACTTACAAGTAGGACTTAAGTTCAAAGACATTCTCTCACTGCCTTTGATCATTTAGGTGACTTTGGAATCTAATGTTTTGTTTCCAATAGCGGACAACCAGAAGTACTGGGAAAAATAAAAATACCATATGTCATATATAAAAGCCCAATCTTATATATGAAATGTCAGCAAGGTTAATGACCCAAGAACTACCAGATCTGGCCTTTAAAAATCTGAATGACCAAGACATTGCAACAGATACATTAAAAAAAAAACACCCTTCAAACTCTTTTACTATTTACTTGGATTTAACCAGGTCATTTCTGGTAGCTCTGTTATGCACAAGCCATATCTTCAGAGTCAGATATTTAAACCCTAAACGAAATGGCTTAAACATTATTCTAATATTGCTTTTAATTTGAATGTTGTATTCTTTATCACATATTTGGCTTATAGGAGCGTTGATAAAACACGAATTTAACAGGTTTCCACCTTGTAGCATTTATTTTCATCTTTTCCTTTGAGTGAGCAGTAAGATAACTGAAATATAACAGCTGGGATAATTGAATGATTGCCAGCAGCAATTCAGTATCATGGTGGTGATTTATACAAAGCATCCATCCTGGAAATAAAGTTCTGACATTGGGTTTAGTAGCAGCACAACCAATTGCAATGTATGCCAGTACTCCCCAACTCAGATTAAATAATGCAGAAAGTATGTCAATTTATGGCTTACCTAAGCTCACTATCAGAAAATGTTAATTTTACAGCAAGATGTGCCGTTTACTATGATATATCTGGCTTGCCCAAGGCAGTTTAAATCACAGCCCAATTACATGCATGTTAATGAAACAATCGTAGTTCAACTGCCTATTTTAAGTGGTTTCTGCCATGCCCTGTAATGTCTAACTGACTGCCTGACACGCTTTTCTGACAGACTACTAAACAGCAGGCACAAATCAAACTCTCAGTAAAATATTTGTCCACAACCTGACACTTTGCACAATGAAAAGTCAAAAACTATGTTAGAACGGAATTTATCTCACTGTACAATGTGACTAAGACAAAGTTTCCAAGTAGTTATAAATGAAAGTTTTCATTTGCTTATGCAGCTATAAAATATCATGTTTTTTTTTAAAAAAAGGTTCTTGCTTCCTCAGCATAAAGTTATCTAACAACAGCACACTGTGAACTTTTTTCTCTCTCTCGCTAGTAAGTTTGAAGTGTTTATTGTAGCCATTGGAGCAAATCAAGTCTGCAACTAGAGATTGAGTAATTAAATTATGAATGGTTGGACAGGTTTCTTCCCCCACAGGCAGACTTATGACCTGGCTTTCACACGTACAATATGTGATAATTAAATTGGAGCATATTAGTTTGAGCACAGCTCTGAGACTTCATTACCAGAGATATATAAAGATTTTTTTTTGTTTCCCACATAAAACAGAGAACAATGGCATATATTAATTTATGAATGATTAACTGACAATAAACCAAGACTTCCTATTGCAGAAGAATCTTTGTATAATGTTCCCAATGCTTTTTTTTTTTTTTTTGCTAGTTGTTCAGCAGTTGTTTAGAAGGATGGAAGTTTTGAAATAAGAAATTAGGATATGGCTTATAATTAGGGTTGATATTATCCAGACTGTAGCAGCACTTTGTGGGCCAGCTTCAAGGCGTAATTCAACAGAGTCACCATCAAATCACCCCATCAAAACTTTGTACAGGTAGTCCTCGACTTATAACAGTTCATTTAGTGATCATTCGTGGTTACAATGGCACTGAAAAAAGTGATTTATGACCATTTTTCACAGCATCCCTATAGTCACATGATCAAAATTCAGACTCAATTTATGATGGTTACAGTGTCCCGGAGTCCTATGACCCCCTTTTGCAACCTTCTGATGACCAAAGTCAATGGGATAGCCAGATTCACTTGTTACTAATTTAACACCTGCAGTGATTCACTTAACAGCTTTGGCTAGAAAGGTTGTAAAATGGGGCAAAACTCACTTAACAAATGCCTCACTTAGCAGCATACATTTCTGGCTCAGTTTTGGTCATAAGTCGAGGACTACCTGTACAACTCTAATTTTATCACACACACAAACCTGAATAAGCATTTGATGGGAGGTCATGGTAAAAGACATTACAGATTAGATCAAACTATTAGAAATATCTGCTTGTGATAATTGGAAATCTTACATTTAAATACTAAAGTCTATTCTTTGGTATTACAAGGGCAGGAAGGCAGTAAAGAAAGAAAGCAAATATATAGTAATTCACAAAAGTTGGAATTAAAGCGACAGTTTCATTTTCTCAGAAGTGCTAAAGATTATGAAGTGCTTATCATATATTACATTAATAAATGTTTGATTTCAATATTTCTTGACATTTTTTTTCCCTTATAGGTGCTGGATTACATAATGGGCAGTGGCATTCTATATATTTGTCAACTAAAAAGAATCGTATAACCTTAATGGTAGATAATGAAATAATGTTGACATCTCATATGCTAGTACCTATGCATATATTTTCAGGAGACACCTATTATTTTGGAGGTGAGATGCATTTTATTTTCTTGTTAAAGCACAGAAATCTGAGTTTTGAAAAAACATAAATGAAATTTGGTTTCATACGTGAGCATTATTAGTAATATTTATTGTAATTTCAGTTGAACATCTCCGCTTCATATTATTAACATTGTCTAGCTTTAGCACTGGACTAAGAAAATTACTCTATTTTCATAGATGACTTTAATGAGATATACCAATTCTTCAGATTTCTTGAAGAAGATTGATCTGATTTTAATATAGAAAGCAATTTCTTGATACAGAGCTGCAAAAACTAATATTAAATCTTGCTTGCTGTAGTTCCTTGAATATGATCCTGGCTAAAGTATTATTATAAAATTCTCAAAGCCATCAGGCTGAATGCACATAAAACTACCGTACTACTCCCCTTTCCCCTAAAAATTACAATATAGGCAAAACTGTATGCCACAAATAAACATGTACAATAATAGTAATCTCTAAAAGGACTTTCAACAGTCTAAAACAGAATGTAAAACTGCAGGAGGAAACTACAAATGTTTGGGAATATCTGAAACTAAGCCCCCCTTTTTATTGATAAAAGATACATATATACAGTGATGCCTCAACAAACATGCTTTTTCCCTGAAGACAGATGAGTATATTCAGAAATGGGAAAAAAAGCAGATTTCATTCTCTCTCTGTGTGTGTTAACATAGGCTCTCAAGATTCATTTGTTCTCAATTATTTTATTATTTTCCCCTGTTTCTCCTTTAGGGTATTTATTGGGGGAATGGAGATTGATAGTTCAAGACAGAATTTAAGCTTGTTTCATAACTCTGCATGTGCTTTTTGACCTAACTTAATATAGTCTTCAAGATAATGTAAACATGCATTCTGTGGCAAAATTTATTTTGTCGATGATCTTTACAGGCATAGCTGAAACCTAAATTTGCTCACTGTGTAATTTTGAGCATCTGAGTGATTGTACAGTATATAGTATAGCAGCACAGAGCTATAGTACTGTAATACCATGTTAAACCAATGGTTTCAGTCTTATACATGTTTAACTAATGGCAAAGCCATTTTGTGCAGAAAATATATATACATAAGTCATATGAAGGCCAACTATAATTTAAAAGAACATTTTCCTATTCCTAATTTTCTTATAAAATTCCTTGCAACAAAATGTCTGAATGCTCAGCTCCTAGAGTTATATCAGAGTGTTCAGATAAAGCAAAGGAGGTTTATGTCTATGGAGATTGTCAGTCATCTTGATTTAAAGTGAAACTATGAGAAATAATCATCATTTTCCTTTTCATGAGGCAACTGGGGATAGATGATGTCAGATCCCTCCCCCTCCGTTGGGAGAGGGCTGTTCAGTTTTGATATAGATGGCCTCTTTGACCCCTCTTTCAAACCAGCAGTTCTCTCTGTCAAAAATGTGGACTTTGCTGAAAGAAGTCAAAGTCAAAAGAGGCCATCTATGTCAAAATTGAACATCTATCCCCAGTCTACAACACAGTCCTTTCAACAGTTCCAAGAAGGCTCCACGCCCATTTGCACTACTCAGGTGACCCTGAAGACATAGATAAGCCTCCAGGTAGCTTTGCATTCTTTTAGCATTCTTTTGCTAAAAGAATGCAAATGAACAGCTGTCTGCAAGGAATATAAATCTTTCCATTTCCCACCATCCAGTCAGAGCTGAAGAAGTTTCTTGGATGAGAAGCAAAATGCCTTCAAAGGAAAACAGAAAAGTCCAGTTGCCTTGTGGGAAAGCATATTTTGGAAAATGGAGGTTTAATATAATTGTTACTATTATTTCTCATAGTTTCACTTTAAATCAACATTTTCTTACTTAAGATATAAACAGGCTTCATTATGAACTCTGTTAAAGTTATTGAATGTTATTATACAAGGAGTCCTTGGATTAATAAGACTTAGAATTTGGATTAATATCAATGAAGAGTTTGGGTGCATTAATCGTAAGGCTCCACTGTCATATTAGAAAGAAAAGTCACTAATGGAAATTGTGGTGGTCTCCCATGGAGAATGAGACACGCAGACAGGTATCTCGGGATGAGAGCCCAGAGCTGACTCCAGCACCCTCTTTTATTGTTACTAAGGTTTTTACATCACACAGCATAATCAAAAGACGTATATAGGGGTGGTTACAATGTATCAAATAACAGACACTTTCCAGATGCAAGGCTACTGCAGGTGTTCTTATCAGAGTCTGTCCAAAAGGCTGATGAATGTATCCTGTGTCTGAAACAGTTATCTCAGGCCCTTGTGGGAGATGTCCATGGGCAGATGCAATTAATCCCACATCTCCTCCTTTTCTGTTTTTTCTTTAATGTTACTCACTTCCAGTTCCAGAAGGGATCTTGATTCACTGATTAAGGCATCCTTCCTAGTGGAGGGCGTAACATTTTTGCACATTTGCAGGAGGGAGGGAATACATTGAATGCAACAACATAGCAATACAAATAATATCAAAATGGTTACTATAATAGAAATCAAAGATTGTAGCCAGGATCCATCCGGTAGCCAGGACCAAAGGGCACCCCAAATATCCACGGTGCCTGATCCATCGCTGCGTAAGGGATTATTCTGGAGCATAGATTCCATTTTTCTAGCTGTAGCAGAAATATTAGGTTGAAAATCATGTATATACATACAACAATGAGAATGAATTAAAGCACATACACCGCCTTTTGCTGCTAAAATAATATCTAAAGCATACCGATTTTGCAAAACTACTTCCCTTATTTCCCCCATTTCTTGATTAATCATTTTAATGCTGTTAATTGTTTCATTAAACATATGAACAGTCCAATTGTTAAGCAAATGAAGGTCTCTATAGTTCATGGCAACTCCTAGATTGGGTAGAATCCCTCTGCTGATTTGAGTCTCTAAACTACCACCCAATGTTAGGGGTGGATCCGAGGAACCAGTATCACGTTTGTTCCGCAGGCGTCCATCAGGGAGATGAGGCAAGGCATATACAGCAGGAGTCAAAAGGCCCAGTGTACAGGTGCCTTTCCAATCCTTAGGCACCTGGCGATAGGCTCTACGGCCACATAGTAGCCACATATCGGGTAACTCATAATAACCCTGGTGAGACTCATTAGCAAATGTTATTATGGATTCCATGTCAAGGCAAGCCATGTAGGTACTGATGTTTGTCCATTGATTGCTTTGATAAGTGTCATTTACCTTAGTAAGGTTACTTTTGATGGATTTACATTTCTTTGCTGAATTCCATATAATAACTTGTTGACAATTACTATAAGTTCCCAAATAAATGGCAGTACGGAATAGTCCTGTGCTATAAAAACAAAATCTGGCAGGTTCCATTATACGAGCACCCACAGCATATGTCATATTCAATGTCTCTGTAGTTATGCTCCACAGCTGCTTCCATCCTGTTTCATTGAATGGAATGGCATGGAAAATAAGACCACCACGACTGTCACCAGGAATTTGCATGCAGATCCAACAGTTCGTGACGTTAAGTGTAAGAGCAGTGCGCCTGGCATCCCATACAAAAGCATTAAAAGCCCACAGTCCCTGATCCTCATATGCCTGGCTGAGGTGGTGTACGTTGAGCCATATAAGGACGAACACAACGAGCTGGAGTCCAAATGATCTCGCCATGGTCGTCTATTGCAGCATAGCCTCGACCCCAAGTAATGAGGGAGGCAGGCCCTTTCCAGGTGGGATCAGGCAAACGTCGATAGTATACCTGGGGGCGTGAAGAATCTGTGGGAGAAGCAGAAAAATGCCTGCTTGCGGCAGTTGAGCCAGGGGTGCCAGAAACATTCAAAAAGTTTAAGGTAAAAAGTACAAGATTAAGAGTGTTTTGTATCCCAGGCAAGCCGGGGGTATTTTCCCCTTTCTTTTTTGCATGCATAATTTCTTTTGGATTGCCCAGGATAGAAAAAGTACGAATACAATGATTAATAACATGTTTAGCAGACTCACCCCTTTGAGGGGTGGCCATAATAAAACCTGAATACGTGTCAATGGAAACATGCAAATATTTCCAAGGGGCAAATGGTAAATATTGCGTAACATCCATTTGCCAAAGTTGACAGCTCTGCGTCCCTCTTGGGTTGACCCCTTGAGGAACAGAGTGTGCTTGGAGGCTGCATGTGGGACATTGTTGTATGATAGCCGCAGCCTCTGTAGCTGTTAAAGAAAATTGTTTCATTAAAGCCTTCTTATTTTGATGAAAATATGAATGGCTGTCCCATGGAGTTATGGGAGATAAAACAAGGACGGAAACGTCCTGGTGAGTGGAGGCGGCCGAAGCGGCAGCATCCGCCTTGGCATTGCCTTCGGAGATAATACCAGGGAAAGGTTGGTGACTTCTAATATGAGCAGGAAAAAAAAACAAGTAGAGCGGGAATGAAGAAGGGATTGAAGTGTGAGAAATAGACTGAAGAGAGAGTCATCCAGTGAGGGTGACACATATGAATCAGATAAAGAGGTGAAAACTTTATATACATAAAGACTATCTAAAATAAGATTAAAAGGTTCAGAAGAAAAAGTTTGTAAGGCCAATATTGTAGCAGCAAGTTCAGCACGCTGAGCAGAAGTTTGAGGAGGAGTAATTTTTGTGTGCCATTGTTCACTCTCCTTCCATACACATGAACCATAAGTCTTGCTACCATCAACATACAGGGTGACAGCGTTAGGAATGGGAGAGGAGGAAATGGGAGAATGCAGAGAAATTGAAACATTATTAAGGAGTTAGAAGCGAGGGTCAGAGGGAATATGACAGGAAACAGATCCTGCCCAGTCAGCAAAAGAAAGTTGCCATACATCTGAAGAGTGTAATTGAAGCAAGTGCCTTGGGGTTGATTCCCCTTTTGGATTGCAGCTGCAAGAGTGTCCATTTGAAAAGCATTGGTTCCCACAATGCGACAGGCTTTAAGAAAATCTGCCAGAGTGGCCGTGGGACTGGAAACAATTGGTTTAAGAATGGACTGGCAGTCTGCATTTGCATATTCATAAGCCAATTTTATGAGGATTTCATTTGCTGCATCTCTGTTTGAAATTTGATGCTCAATGGCAACTTGCAGGCAATTCACAAAGTCTGCATAGGATTCAGTTGCAGTTTGGTGAATGGCAGAAAAAGATTGAATCGGGGTGCCAGACTCATCAACACAAGCCATGGCAGAAAGAACACAAGCATTAATGATAGGAAATGCAAAAGGAGTAAAAGTTTGAGCTTGAGCATTAAGGGTAGTAAAATTGCCTTCTCCAAAGAGTTGTTCTGCTGTGTATTGTGAACCTGGGTGATTAGCTCTCTTTTGTGCCTCTCTTTTATATTCAGATTCAAAGACTATGTATTGTGTTCCGTTAAGAAGCATGCGGAACAGATCTTTCCAATCTTGAGGCAACATTCTATATGCACTAGCAATTGAATGTATTAGTCCTCTAGTATAGGGACTGGTTATGCCATAATTTTTTGTAGCCTTTTTCAATTCTCTGATCATAGCCAGGGGAAGTTCCTCCCAACCCACTATTAACCCTTTAGCAGTCTGTTGGTAATTAACAGGGAACAACTCTGTCTCGGATAGTTCAGAAACGCTTAAATCACCATTGTTTAAAGCCTTTTGAAAAGCACCACGCATGATTCCAGGAGAGAGAGAGAGAGAGGAGAGAGGAGGCAACGTGGCAGGAACAGGAGAGGTTGTTTGCTGTTTATCAGAATCCATAAAATTTGCAGGGACAGAAGGGTTAAAACCAGCTCCAGGGGGTAAGGGAGTGGCCAACATAACAGACGGATTTTTATACGGTGGAGGATCTAATAAAGGCTGATGAGGCAATTCAGCATAGGTTTGAATCAAAGTATAGGCAATTTTCCAAAGGCATAAAATCTCTGGGGGGGTTCTCGGAGACTGGTGGAGAATAGTACCAATTTTCCTCCATGTATCTATTTTTAAAGATCCAGACTCCGGATAGGATGAGCAGTTAGCCCAAACGTAAGCAAGCAATTTGACAGCCTCAGATTTAGAAAGGTGACGGGTTAATTTCTGTTCCTGATCAGTAAGATATTTTTTCCTGCCAAGTAGCCTCAGCTCTTCCACATGCTGCTTTTGAGTGTGAGACATTCCACCCCCCATACTTACGAAGAGGAGTCAGTTGCCAGCAACTTCGTCGGGTGCACCAAGCCTATTCCAGGCGATAAGTAAAGGGTTGGCAGGGACGTATCCTTCAGTGGATCACGTCGGGGTCACCAGATGTGGTGGTCTCCCATGGAGAATGAGACACGCAGACAGGTATCTCGGGATGAGAGCCCAGAGCTGACTCCAGCACCCTCTTTTATTGTTACTAAGGTTTTTACATCACACAGCATAATCAAAAGACGTATATAGGGGTGGTTACAATGTATCAAATAACAGACACTTTCCAGATGCAAGGCTACTGCAGGTGTTCTTATCAGAGTCTGTCCAAAAGGCTGATGAATGTATCCTGTGTCTGAAACAGTTATCTCAGGCCCTTGTGGGAGATGTCCATGGGCAGATGCAATTAATCCCACAGAAATAGTGTCATTTGTCATGTTCCATAACCTGTTAGCATTCATATTTCAAACTGATGACTATTCAAAGGACTTTTGTCACTGGAAGGGGAATTTCAGAGAATATGAAAGCTTACAGATTTACATATCCTTCTCTTTATGATGTCATTGATGTATTTTCCTTTCTGCTAGCATCATTATAGCATTACATTCCTTTCTGCTTATTTCCAGTTTTTTCTTTGTTGATACATTGACAGTGCTAATCTTAAAAATAAAAAGCACCCTTCCTATTTTTTTTATCATAAATTTAATTATTTTAAAAATAAATTTATCCATTGTAGCTTTCATCAGTGGGAAAAAGTTAATCAGGAAATTCTTAGAACTTTGCATAAAGCACATAAGAGAACTGTATTTTTTCAAGTCATCAAAGGAATACCATTTATTTTGTTCTGGAATTATAGAATTATGTATGAATTAAATTGGAATCTTGAATTATGCTTACCAGTACATGGTAAATCTATCAGTAGGACATTATATTGTAAATGTAATTATTTTTCCCAATTAATCACTTTTATGTTTTGCCTTCCAGGATGCCCTATTAATGTCAACAACTCAGAATGTAAGAACCCTTACAGTAGTTTCCTTGGATGCATGAAACAATTTTCCATTGATGGCAAACCTATAGATTTAATTTCAGTTCAACAAAATTCAATGGGACATTTCAGTGACCTTCAGATAGATTTGTGTGGCATTATAGATAGGTAAGAGATTATATTTCAGTGAAAAAAGATTGATTTTTCATTGCTGTTGAGAATAAAACATCTAGTTATTTCAAACATGGTTTTCTTTCTGTTTCTTATATAAATTGGGAATATATAAAGACAAAATAACAACTGGTTTTCCCTAAAGTTTTAGTTATTTGAAAAAGGGATGGCAAATTTCTTTTTTTTTTTTACCAATACTGTTATTACTTGTGTCTTAGAATTTCAATTGCCCTGTAGTTCAATGTTTCTCGATCTATATTTATGGCTGTTTTCTCTGGCTTGGTGGCACTTAACAAACTATCCTCAACACTATTTTAAGGCGACATTGGCAATAAAATGTCTTGTGAAAATGTATCTGAGTCATAGATAATAAATGCACTTGCATTTGCTATAATTTGCTCAGTTTGGTGTGCATAGATTCCCAAATCTATTTAATGTCTTATGAGACCAGATTACACAATTTATTCAGGGAAAGTCAGATGAAAAGATTATAATGAATATTAAAATTCTGCATTATTCCACACCGTGCCAAACCCAATAAGCAGATGTGTTGTCTTCCTTTCCTAAGGCATAAACAAAATAATTCTATATATTCATAAATAACAATAGTAAAACATCGGCCACATTAAATTTAGCAGTTTTAGGATCTAAAGGATCTTTTTTCTCATCAAAAGAATTTATCATGTAACTCACACTTTTCTATAGACTAGAATTTTATGCCCAACAATTTATGTTGTTTCTTTTTACCAACTCCTTCTTGGTATATGAAAATTGTATGACACAAAATTGTCACACTGTCTTTGGAAGACTGAGCCCTTGAAAAAGAACAGCATATCCAAATGCATTCAATCCTTGCACTGCTATACAAATACAAAAATAGATCTTTGTAACAGAACATATTCTCCAGAGCTAGTTTGTTGTTTGGTTTTGCCTCCCTTAGGAAATATTCATATGGCATATGAATTAATAATAAAATATTTTGGCATATGGAGTTATGGTTAGGGTGAGGATCTGTTGAAATAATGTAGTGGTAGAAAATGCTGTTTCTCATTATGTCTACAATGGGTCAAATGAGACTCAGCAGACAGTAGTCTGTGGCCATTAATAACTGATCAGAAGAAGCAGTATGAAGGTAGGAGAACATACAGAGAAATGGGGGCACCAAAGTTGAACAAGGTAGGGAATATTACATCAGCCTCAACTTATTCAACAGCTGTTGACTGGTTACAGTGGTAACCCACACAGAATTACAATAAGATCCAGTTTCTAAACATATTGTTCAAGTATCCAGGAAACTAAACATCAGCTGATAACTACCTTAGGGAGCCGTAGACTATTATAAGTAAGGGTAGCTTAATGGTTAGGGTTGTATGACAACCAGCCCACTTATTGTCTTATAAAAGCTTGCCAATCTACACCTCAGTATTGCAAGTCAATCAGATGAATTCTTTTAGCTTATAGATATAAGATTGATCTCATTTCAAACAAAATTGTGGCCTGTGCATTCAGTGTAATGGATCTGAAATCTGTGTACATGTTGCTACAATTATAGAAAACTGTTTTTCAATGGGGTCTCACTATATTAAAAAAAAAGTTTTAGAAACATCCGTTCATTAAATTGTTATTTTTTTATTTTTATAGCTTTTAAAATAATAACAGAAAAAGGAATAAAACACAAAAATGCAGTACCTGTTTGCTGTTGTAACAAGATATTATTCATTACATTCTTGATTTTTCTTTCTTTTATGTCATCCAGACCTAGAGATTTTTAAAATATTTTTCTTGATGTTTTTGACTACATTTACAAAACTCTCAGTGCCTATTTTTTCTTTCTGATCTATAGTGACTATGAGCATGTCTGTTCTCTGAAGAATTATTAGAATGATCCTACTTCTTACAAAAATACAAAAAGTCTTTGATCTTTTTTCCTATACAGGCTATAACTATAGCTTGTTTAGGAATGTGTCTTACTTTCCATTAACCTTCTTTATCCTACATCAGAAGATTTTGTAAACAATTTCCTCAGTGTTTTACAACTTCAAATATCCTTTGCCTTGGATATGATAAGGATATAAAGGCTGCAAAAACTATGTCTTTGCACAGCTGTTTTGGCAGTTGCTCCTGTCTGTCTCTGCACATACCACAGGATGGCTGAGAGGTACATGAATGTAGAAAAATTACATGATGGAGCATCTGTTTCCCATCTTTTCTCTTATCCTACTTCCACATGTTGCAAAGCATCTATTTCACAAATGTAAATGCAACCAATGCTCTACATCAGACATGTCAAACACAAGGCCTGGGGGCCGAATGCGGCCTGTGAAGTGGTTTCATGTGGCCCGCGAAGCCATCCTGGAAACAGTGAGGGAACGGTCCCTGCTGCCTTGGCCCTGGCCCACAAGGACATCTGGAAACAGTGGGGAACCAGCCCCTGATGCCTCTCCCCCCCCGGGTGCATGCTGGGGAGGTGTCACCCTTTATGAGGAATGAAGAAATGCACCATTGCCTAGAAGTGGCCAGCAAATGGCCCTCGCCTACTTCACATATCCAAGTTGATGGGCTCTGCCCTGGTCCCACCCCTTTCTGCCAGAGACCTTCAGATCTGTCCCACTCCTACCCAAACCCCCACAGGCACCCTTGATGCGAATAATGTAGAGCTGGCCACACCCACCCAGTAGGCCACACCCACTCCATCCACACCCACCCAATAGGCCGTACCCACCCAGCCCCCCCGAGGGCAACTGCAATGCTGATGCGGCCCTCAATGAAATTGAGTTTGACACCCCTGCTCTACATAATGCCAACTGGAGCTATTATTTTTTATTGGGTTGTGTGGCGGATGGCAGAGGAATTACTTTGAACCAAGGGCCAATTTTTCTAGGCTAGCACATTCAGGAGAGACCACCGCAGTGCTATCCCATGTCTCAAGTGATTTATGATGTTTTTGCCTGGAGCCAGCCATAAACCATTTACAAACACAAACACTCAGGAAAGTTTCTTTCTCCAAGTGAGCAGGTTAGTTTAGCTGTTAATCTACAACAGTTTATAAAGGATCAACAACTATTTCCTAATCTTATCTCACCAGGGAGGTGATTTTTTTTTAAGAAGAGTATTTGAAATAACATAATCCTTTCCTATCTAATAGCCTCTCCTTCCACCCTCAAAGCAGAATCTTCCATTGTCTTGCATTAATATTAATATTTTTAACATGATTGCAGAGTGGGTCTGAATTTACAAATAGAGGCATCATACTAGGGACCATTTTCTTTCCTTTTCTTCCCACTATAGGGGTTTAAATATTGTTTTAATGACAGGTGTTTTAAAGTCTTGTAATAATAATAAAAAAAAACCTCCCTAGTCAGAAACTAACAAAACATTTAATTTTCTTTGACTGGAGAAAAGAAGACCAGTGTTGAAAATACAAGGATCAGATCAGCATCCTATTTGCTTGCAGCAATAATATGCATCATCTAGAGCATGGATTTCAAACTCGCCATGTCACGTGACATGTCAAGATGTATTGCGACTTTTTTTGCATTGCTGGAGCTGGGGTGGGCACCTCCTCATGATGCAATCAGCCCAAGGGCCGGCAGTTTGACACCCTTAATCTAGAGGTTTTTTGAGTAAATGGATGCTGTCTGATCAGTGAGGCCCATTATGGTAGCCATTTTAGAAAGAAACATATCCTCTGTGGCAGCCATTTTGTGTTGTGCTCAATCCATGCATTCCCAGATGTATCTCTAGTCCATTTGTATGGGTTTTCAATGAGGAATCAGTAATTGATGGATTGTTTTAAAAAAAATAATGAAAAGTATAACTTTCTGGTTCATTTTAATCCATTACATATTTTTTCTAAAAATAAAACTAAAGAACACATTCAATGGCTCTCTTAACTGAAATAATATTAAATTTAATAAAACTAATATCAGAAAAAACTAATCATAGCTCTCACTTCATTTGTTATAGAGTCTACTAAACAGTTATCAACTTATAGTCTTGGCAAGGTATTGACATGACAGTGTTGCTCTTTTAAACCAAGTACATTTCATATCATCCCAGAAAGGTCCATATTATGAAACTAATCAGTTTTTGTCATCCATTAGCAGGATAGTAGAAATTTTTTCCTGCAGAGAAAAAATCGTATATATATATAATACAAATAAAAATACGATCACCAGGAGAATATAGGTATAAAAAATATACTTTACTAAAACCGCCAAGCTTTCGTCGGGGAGGCTCCCAGCATCATCAGGGCTAAGAAGCCAGTAAACAATGATGACTTAAATGGGTTTGGGTTTTATGGACATTTGCCATTTGACATTCCAAATTTTGTGGCTGACAAAGAGTTAAATGAGAGACTAGTCTCCCATTTAACTCTTTGTCAGCCACAAAATTTTGAATTTACAGTGTTCACAATAGTAATATCTGCTTGCAAAAGATGCTCCTAGACTGGAGTAAAAAGCAGAACAGATCGCTTTATGTTTGGTAGACCGACACATAGTTATATGTGCAATCATTCAAGTCCCTGGGGTAATGTGAGTTCATACAACCAGACTGTTAAAGGATAGTTAGATAGATAGATAGATAGATAGATAGATAGATAGATAGATAGATAGATAGATAGATAGATAGATACCGTAAATGCCGGCGTACAAGGTGACCCGGCGTATAAGACGACCCCCGTCTTTATAGCCGGGCCGCATTCCTAGAACGTCGTCTTATACGCCGGAAACTACCAGTATTTCCGGCGTATAAGACGACTCGGTGTATAAGACGACCCCCATCTTTGGCGCCGATTTCAGCGCTCGTGGAAGTCGCCTTATACGCCGGCATTTACGGTAGATAGATAGATAGATAGATAGATAGATAGATAGATAGATAGATAGATAGATGAGGAGAGAAATAAATTGAATACATTAGTATCCTATTCTCTTAATACATTCTAGCATTTGAATGCCAGAAGAGAGTTTATCTGGTCATTTTAACCAGCATCTCTGGAAAAATTGGTTCAGATAAAATTAATGGTTTTTCATGCATTATATAATTTACTTTATTTGATGTCCTCCCATTCTGAGTGCCCAGAAGATAAGATGCTTATAAAATAGTATTTCAGATTTTTTTTAATGATATTTTTTAATTATTTATTTCTTATGCTTCCAATAAAAACTATACCTATGGTCAGTTTGCACCAGAGTATGCATTTGACATTTTTTTTAGACAGCTAAAGTGGATCAGATCTAAGACACCAAGAAACTGCATGGCTGTAGGCTAAATTAGCAAGTTAAAATAAAAATTTCAGAAAGTAGCAATGGGAAATCCTTTCCATGTTGCTGCTAAGAAAATTACATATAGGTGTTCATTAAATCTCTGGGAGTTGAGCTAAACTTGAAGAAGTTTCTATCTTTTTATTGGGTAGGATAAAAGATAGCTGTTTTGATTAGGTATAAATTATGATAACATTTTCTAAAAACCTACATTATTAATGAATCATATATTATTATAAAAGTACAATATTCCAGAGTGCTGATGACTCTCACCAGTATGTGAATTTGCATTCAGTTCACAAATGAAAATTTCCCCCTTATTTCTTTATAATTACTTTCTAATTACCTTACCTGTGTGAAATGATTACCCACAACTCATGTTACTAATAAATAGGTGCAATAAAATCTATACTGTACCTTAATGCTATTCCAAAATATTCTTATATTTATTTTGACTTTATAGATGCCTGCCCAATTATTGTGAACATGGTGGTGAATGCTCACAGTCCTGGAACAGTTTTTATTGCAATTGTGCAAATACAGGCTACATGGGGGCTACATGTCATTATTGTAAGTCTAAATATACTTAATAATATTAATAAACATTGAATTTTAGACCACAATAGTATTTGTTTATAGAATGCTTTTCAGTCTTTTTCAAAAATGCATAGTGCTCTTCTATTTTATGCAATCATCAGAATTGTCTATGTAGCACTTTCTTGGTTTCCCTTTAAAAGCTGAATATTATACTTGCAAGATTGCCGACATTCAATCCTATAAAAATCAAGCTTTTACAAGAGTCCTCACATTACAAGTGGGAATTGGAACTCTGTCACTGTGCTGTCCTCTCTCTCTCTCTCTCTCTCTCTCTCTCTCTCTCTCTCTCTCTCCCTCTCTCTCTCTCTCTCTCTCTCTCTCTCTCTCTCTCTCTCTCACACCCACACACACAACTGTGGTTTAGTGGGTTTATTAATATTCCCCAGCAATTCCCTTCACCAAAAATCCAGAACTGTCCCAATGAAATCCAGCCACAAGCAAACCAATGCTAGTCCACAGAGCAATGGCCATTGAGTCCACAAGGCACTTGAAAGTTTCCCAGTCAAAATAAACCCTCAGGCAAAATTAAATCCACAATACAAGAGGGTTTATGAGGCAAGAAAAGTCCAGAGTTCACAAGACACTATCCAAATCAAGGCACAGTGTCAATCCAAAGCAAGACAAGAATCACAATGAACAGAAAACACAGAGTTAGGAAGTAAACATGTTGTTCCCAACAATGCTTCCATCTGTCTGCTGTGCTAAATAGCCAATTTCCAGTGCAGCACATCAAGAAGGGCAGGCTTTCTCCTCATGAGTAATCTGGCTGACCTTCTCTGCTCCTGTCTTTTCTCTGCCCTGTTTGTTCTCGGATCAGGTACAAGAGGCAGTTCCTCTTCCTCATCACTGACCAGCTGTAGCTGCCTGATTTCCCCATATGAAGCCTCAGGGCTGTCCTGCTGCAGCTGTGCTTCAGCCAAATTTCTCTCAGATGGCTGCTTGGAGCCATTGATCAATTCCTCTCCAGACATGTCTGGAATGGTTTCATCTTTCTCAGAACTAACAACTGGAGAGGTATCTGGGGGAAAATCTGGAGGAGTCATCACAGTCACTAACCAACACAGTTGCCATCATTACACAAGGATGCTGCAGGAACCTCACTTGATCATGATTTCCTGCCAGCTTCCCCATTGATTTCCCCACTTTCTTGCAGGAAGCTGGCAGGGAACATCAGAAATTGCTATTACATGAATTGGTGGATACTACAATGACCAAAATTCCACACAGCTATCATAAGTCTGCCTCATTCAGCACTATAATAACTTTGAACAAATGGTCATAAGCCAAGGACTATCTGTACACTCTGCAATATTCCTGATTATACTGCAAGCAGCTCATCCACACATCCTGCTTCCTGAATTGTGAAGACACCATATTTATTTTGTTTGTGGACATGTTCTCACAATAGTTTCTTCATTTTGTAGAAAGCCTGCAGTCTAAGGTGTTTTAGTATGGAACTCATGCTTTTCTTGTAAAACAAATGACGGCTTCTCATCTGGATAAGGCAAGGCATGTTGAGGAGTAGGCAAGACATGTTGAGGAGATATAAGCAGTGATGTGTTTGTAATTTGTCCAGTGAGTGTTCTGGGGACTTCTTCCTACTAGCCAGGTCCTGGGCTTGGTGTTCTTGCTCTTTGGCTGCAAGGGAGAAACTCAGCTTTAGCAGCACTTCCTCCCCACCCCCCAACACTTTGATATGAGTGTTTTTCAACCATAGCAGCTTTAAGATGTGTGCATTGATCTAGGCAATGCACAGCCCTGAAATTGACAAAACTGTCCTTGAATGAATGCATGGGATTGAAAACATAATTGAAAGGACTCTATTCTAGAATTTCTGAAGCCTTCTAGGGAATTACCTTCCCAGTGGCCCCTCCTATTTAGAAAGCCTTGGTTTCTCTGTTTCTTTCTTCCCCAAATATTATTTAAAAAGCTCTTTCATTCATAGGAAGTAACCAGTTGCAGGCATAGTTTGAACATACAGTAATCTCTTTTTCTTTTTTTTTTTTTTTCTCTCTCTCTCTCTTTCTTTCACTCTCTCTCTCTCTTCCATATCAGTTTTTTTTTCTTCATAATTGCATCCTTTGTTTGGCTTTCTCTGTTTGAGTTGATGGCCACTTACGCCTATAATTTCCTATCTGAATGCTACTGCTTAAAAAGTAAACAGAGACACTTTCCCAGTTATTTTCTTTTGAAAGGTATAAATGTTGTTTACTGATGCCAAATGTTGATGCAACTTTTATTGCATTATTTTCTCCTTATTTGCTTGCATGTTGAAAGTATGTTGAAGATTTCAGCCTCCGTCTTGACAATTGTTCATTCACTTAAGTAAAATTCAAAATGATGCTCTTACACTTGTAATGGGAGATGTTCTTTTGCAGCTATATATGAGCAATCATGTGAAGCTTATAAGCACAGAGGTAACACTTCAGCCTTTTACTACATCGATTCAGATGGGAGTGGCCCCCTAGGGCCATTTCTTGTATACTGCAATATGACAGGTAAGGTGATGCATTCTTTTTACTCCCAGTTATATACAGTATTCATTATATTGAAATCTAACAAACATGAAGTGCTCCTACTTTAAAGCTTGTGAGTTGGAAAATACAAAGAGAGTGAAGGTGACTTCTCAGTTCAGAATATTGGAAATGAATTAGACAGGAAATTACAATAACAATAGGTTTACAATAAGAATGCAGAAACCTGCCTGGGTTGCTTTTTGTAACACTGATATATTTTTTTAAGCCTGAGTTTATTCCACCTATTTCTATAACAATTTGCATTCTAATTTTTTTTTTACACCAAATAAAACTGTGTGGGAATGCTTGCCTAGACATTTTTTTGTGCATCAGAGCTGACATACATTTTTATTCATATTTTCTCTTATTTTGTACATTTTTACCACTGGCGTATGCATTTGTGTAGGCAATTTTCCATAAAATATGCATTTTGACAATGTACTATATAGTCTCTTGTATAACTTTAATGTGGGAGTAGAAACATATAATCCAGAAAAGTGAAAAAGTTGAAAGACAATTAAAATTTAGTGTATATATTAGATTAGGAAATGTAGGTAGTTCATTTGATAATTACAAATCAACCAAATGAATGTTCTCCCATTGTTAGGTCCATCTGTGAAGTAATCATTTCTTCTCTATAATGTTTTCATTTTTTCTTTTCTTTTTTTAGCAGTTTTCCCTTAGCTGCATTAGCATTCACAAGTAGAGAAGAAATTGAGAAAAAAAAGTTACCATATAAGAGAAACACTAAATTTAGGGCATATTTTCATTTATTCTATACTTACAAACTATAATGACTTGATTATGCAAGTTGAAAGTCATTTATTATATTTGAGTGTTTCTTTGTTTTGTTTTTCCTATTAAAACACCAGTCACCATCACTAGACAGCATGATCTAGCCAAATACTCAAAACAAACCATGGAGTACTTATTAGGGTATTTGTTTCTTACAATAAATATAATTGATATCTTTTTGAAATAAGATGGATAAGTAGATTCAAGGGAAATTTTTTAATGTTACAGTTATTGATATTAAGTTAAATCATATCACAAAACTTTGGAATCTATTTCTGAAGAATTCTGGCTAAATAAGGTCTTTGGTATTGCCAGAATAATTATTTTGAAAAATTGGAAAATAGTAACGTTCCTGATATTAAGCACTAGATTTAAGAAATGTGTAACTTGTCTTTTTTTTTTTTAAGGCAATTTTATATAATTAAAAAAATGACTCAATACATCCTTCTTTGGCACAGGTTTCATATTTTGTAATGTTAGAAAATCATTTTTAAGATTGATTTAGAAACTGGTTTAACATTTGATGGATATGTATATTCATCACTCCTTTTTGCAGGTTGGGGGCAGTAAATAATTTTGCTTTTTGTTAAATTTTGTGTGTGTGTGTGTGTGTTTTCTTCTCTTTTTGGTTCCCCCTTTCCATTTTATTGTAAGATTTGTTAAGATAAATAAATAAGACGAGCGGTTAGTATTCAAACAGGTCTGGATGGTAACTGAGAGACTTAATGCTGATTTAAGAGAGGCTGTTTTTTATTTTTCTTTCCTTTGCCAATATTATATGATTGCATTCCTTAATTATAAGAAAATATAATGTAATCTATAATGTAAAGGTGTAAAATAGTGTATAGGAATAGTGCAGACATTTCTAGACTGTGATGGTATACTTATTGTGCACATACCAAGGGTAAAAGAGAGAAATAGATAATTTATTTGTTTTTTTTTTCTGAAAAGCTTTGGTCTAACATTTCCTTTAATATAATAACATATAGGCAAACAAATTGTAGTATCTCATTCACTTAGTACTGAATTGAAAAATAACAAATCTTCCAAAAGACATATAAAGAATTAATCATGGTTCCCTTTTCTTTTTTGTGGTCTTTTGATGATGTTCAGGCAGAAAGCTATGAAGCAATCCTCCAGTGCTGAGTACCAAATAAAGGATCAACAGCTCTCTTACTTGCATTGCTTCTCATTCTTCACTAAGCACCTAATTCACTCCATTAGAGCACTGCAGAAGTAGACTATAGCAGTGCAGTCAAGAACAATATCATAATAATGAGGCACACTTTTTTGACAGCATGCATTTATTGAGCAGTAAAGTCATCAGAATGAATATCCTATACCACAATCCTTCAAAATTATGTCATGCTTTTTTCCCTTCTTGATGTAGGCTTAGGGTGACACCATATTAGGTGAATGCCCAGTGTTGTGTCTCCTGGGCCTGATGAGGGAACTCAGCAGGCCTAGAAATGTTGCAAATGGTCCCGGGCAATCTAAAAGCTGCCCAGGACCAGACTGGCTGGCACCAGACTACTGTGCATGTGCAAGACGCGAAGAAAGAGGGATTCTTATTGGCTGGACTGCCTGGGGGTTGGAAAACTATAAAAGGCCTGCGTGCCTGTTTTGCAGTTGCTTGGAGTGGAGTGAAGGAGAAATAAAGAAGTTTGGTTTACGATGTGTCGTGCTTCAATGCCTCGAATCCCGAAACACAAAACCCAGTATCTCCTCATTGGCCCATGAGATGCCACAAATGAGGTCCCTGAACAGCAGACCTCTTTCCTTTCCAATCAAAATTGTAAATTCTTTCCAGACAGTTTCGGCTCTCCTCCCTTCATTAATATTGAAGCAATTGGTGAGATTATAGCAACATGACCTTTAGATAAACTTCAAGAACAGATATTGTAAATATCTGTTGAGAATAAGTACTGGGAGAAGGATAAAGTTTGGAGGACATCAAGAACTGTATCTCATCTTTGTCTATCTATACAAAAAGGACGATATAGATAATAAGGATTGAACACAAATTGCTATCTGATCTTGCTGGATTTGATGCTGACATTATACAGAGCTTGAAGTAGGATGCAACATCTCAAATTACCAGGCATTGTCAACGTACAGTTACATAATTTTTCAATATGCTTTGCCCAACTATAGTCTTAAGCATTTCAGTCAACCTGTGAAATACAAATTCTTGTATTGCTTCTTGGCTCCCATTTCTTAGGATTTCTTATTTGGAATAATACAGCAGTAATAAAAAGCACAGATGGCAAATATTTTCCACACCGTGACTAGAAGCAAAGGGAAGGGCTGCCACATGGTGGTGACCATAAAGTTCAGATTAAAATAGTGGATCATGCCTTGCTTTTCTGGGGATTTTTAAGAACAGTTTACATATACAATTTATATAGAAACCTTTTTATTATCTTGTGGCCATCTGCAAGTTTTAAGTTACCATTTCCAACTAGGATAGATTGATGCCTATGCAATCTAGACATTCTGAAAAATACCTTTCAACAAATCTACAGAGAACTTAACTAGGTAATTTTGGCAAAGAAAATATAGCTTCCCATGTTCGGAATCCGGGCATGTTAATGCAATGCTAATATTGAAAGCCATTCATTCAGGAGCCCTGATAATGAATTATTGGAACTACTGGCATACCTCCTATAGGGAAATAGAGGCCCAACTGCTCGTTAATTTTTTGGTCAAATCAAAGACCGGAAAGGGTTTTAATTTAAACACTTCAAGGATCAAACAGATGAAGTGAAATGCAATTTGAGTCATCTGTGTATGTCTAGGAACAGCTGCCACTGTTCTCTTCAGTCACTCCTTATTCAATATGTTAAGCAAATCCCATTGATCAGTTCCCCATCAAGAAATGCTGTCTGACAGGATGAATCTTCAGCTTTTGTTTTCTTCCTGTTTCCTCACAGTCCTCCTTCCTTTTTCTCACCAGGGGCAATGCAGACAGATGCCCATATTTTTTTGACACTGCTCCCTTGTCATAGATATTCATGTAGCTTTTCTTCTCAGGCAGTTGCAAAGGGAGGTCTCATTATCCTCTGGTATTCAGAGAAATCATTTTCAATATCATAACTTCAGGTCCAAAGCTTCAATTCCCTTCCACAGAAAGCATTGCTCTTATGCCCAGTTTGGTTGTGGATAGAATCGTAAAAGATTCCCTCTTTTCAATCACATTCTTTAAAAGAGCCTAACCTTTATGTAAAAAAAATAATTTAATGTTTAAACATGTTTACACAACTTTCCCAGCTATGCTCTTCTGCTGAGCTAACTTTTAGAGCACTTAAATCTAAACATGCCAAATGAATATAAGGCTTCTGTGGGGTTACAGGGTTACTGAAGCTGTATGTATATAATCAGCTTTAGATTATTGACCCAGTCTATAAACAATCAGATAACCAAATAAAGCACTAATGTTTATTATTGGCATGAATCACCTCATCATAAATTCTTGCTACAGCTGATTAACATGTGTTTAATAATGTTTATTTGCTGCCAGACATTCATAAACTTTCATAAACAAAAAAGCTGAAGCCAAGGTGTCTTCTTAAGAATAGTAAAAGACTTAATAGTAGGATATTGATTTGAATTTCTTTAGAAAAGCTACATTTATAAATAAATGTAGTGAATGGGCTGATCTAATTGATAGTACCAAGTTGGAAGCCACAAAGGACAAAGAATGATCAAATAATTTTAAAAAATGGATATAACATACCCTAAAACTGAAGAACATTGTGTATTCTCTACAGTGCATTGTGCTGCAGCATTGTGAGTAGGTAACATGTCAAAATCACCTTCAGCTACCAATGCTGCACTAAGACAGCAGTAAAAAGATACAGAAAATGCAAGCCTGCTGTGAACAAGTGGTTGTCTGGCTTTTCACAGGCTGGATATGGTAATCCTGAAATATATTTATGAATAAGAGAGAAAAAGAAAGAAGGAAGCAGCTTCCTCAAATAGTACAGAAGATGAGGGTTGATAAAATTTGGCAAAACACTCCCCCCCCCCTACAATGTAGGATTAGGGATTTTTACCTAATGGCTGGCTCACTTCCATTGAATCTATGCCTGGTTTACAATGTGCTCCTTCATTTGTCTTTCAAGATACCACTTGGACAATTATACAGCACAACAACACCGAGTTAACCAGAGTCAAAACTGCTAATCGAGAGAACCCTCACAGTGTGTTTTTCAAATATGCTGCCAGCCTAGAACAGCTCCAGGCTACAATTAACCATGCAGAACAATGTGAACAGGAGGTTGCTTACCACTGCAAAAAGTCACGACTTTCTAACAAGCAAAGTAAGTAATGGAAATAAATCTTATTATGCTACATAATGCATTATCCTTAACAATATATATATCTCCTAGATGTTGAATATTGCCAAGGTTAGGGCATCTTGCCATTATAGTCTTTCATTTGTTTATTTAAGTTTTGGAAGATTCATTGAGAAGCTCCCTAACCAAAAATTTCCTCAATAACAGAAAGGACAGTGTGTAATTATGTTCAAAAACATTAAACAATTTCTAACTCAATTTCTTGCCTAACCCTACTGTTAGTAAAACTTACACAAAGTGTCCGTCTTGGCTTATGCTTGAAAGACATACAATAAATAACAAGAACTAAAATTAAATCTAAATACTAAATCAGGTAAAGCACCATTTCTCAACCCTGGCAGCTTTGAGATGAATGGACTTTAACTCCCAATAATTCCCCAGCCATCATGCTGCCTAGGAATCATGGGAGTTGAAGTCCACCCATCTTAAAAGCAGCCAAGGTTAAGAAACAGTGAGGTAAAGCATTCCATGAAAGATTAAAACCATACCTACTTCGTATACTGTAAATAAAAGGATTCTGGTGTATACATCATACAAGTTTGTTTGTGAAATGCCAAACATTTTTTTTAATAAAGTAAAGAAAATAATTTAGGAAAACAAATTCATACATATACATATATAATTTTTTAAAAATTGAAAAATATATCCACATAGAAATAGCTGTCATGAAAATACAATTGCATAATGTGGAATTTAGACCTTCTGAAGCTGAAGTTTTTTGTTTTGTTTTGTGCTCCATCAGTTATGTTAAAAGAAACTGAAGACTTGCTTTGTAAAATCTGTATTTGTTTTTGCAATATGTGAGTTGGCACGCACACATACCCTTAGGTGCTGGTACTGTTTGTGTTCAGCAGTTACTCTTGTAAATAAGCAATTATCTAGTTTTCTCTATTTATAACAGGCATTTATTCTGCAAACTTGACCTCCCCCATGTGCATACCGTTCACTAAATGTATTGACAAATGCAATATTCAATTAGAGTAATAACTATAAGTCTATAGCGTTAACTTCATTCTGGTTCTGCAGAAAAAGAATTCATTGCACTCTACTCCTATATGAAAAGTATGTAAACAAGCATTCAGACCTCACCAGGTCATGTTTTGCATCCGTCTGATTAGGAACATTCATAGATAAAGTACCACCCTTCACTAATTGTTGCTTAGCGACAATTCTTTAATTGCATTACCAAACTCAATCAATACACAGCTTTATGAATTCAGCTAAAACTATGCCAAGATCATTTAGGTAGAACAACGATGTACACATGTGTAATCACCCACATGGTCTGTTAATTGATGTCCATACAAAGGGGAAGGGAAGGCTCTCTGAAAATGCACAGATTTGTTGTGCCATCTTTCTTGACTGCTTTATACTTAACCTAATCTGGTTATAGACCAAAGAACACATAGAGTTAATGCGATAGTTAATACTAATAACCCAGAACATACAATATTATGTTGTCTGTCTTATTGTATACATTTTTTTCTTCTGTTCAATCATGTCCAATTCTGGACAAGGCCCTGCAGTTTTCATGGGGGGAGTTTTTTCCCCCCACAAAAAGTGGTGCCTTAATAACGACACTAAACTGGCTGTCATGTAAACTTACTTGATGTTAAATCCAGACTGACAGACAAGGCTCAGATTACAAATCTTCAGTAAGCCACATCATAGAAGAAAGCCTCTTTGCCAGCCTCTTTGCTGTTGTTGAGTGGCTATCTGGATTTCTGCAGACCAGCCTCTAATCTATATATGTCTTACACAGGCACACACTCACAAGGGTTTGAAGTCTTTATTGAGGCTTTGCCATTCTCAAATAGTGTTCACCCCATGCAGTAACCTGCACAAAACCCAATGAGTCCAATGTTCAAGTCCGAGAACATAGAGCAAGTCCATAAAGTCATCCACCAAGTTTGGAGTCCCAAGACATCTCCACAGTCTGACCACAAATCACAAAATCAAAATCCAGTCCAAAGTCCAAGAAGCAAAGTCCTAAGTCCAGTTTCAGAGTCAAAGCTTAAGTCCAAAGACAAGAGTCATGATGGCAAAACAGATGCATGGCAAGAAACAGATGAGTTGTTTCCAGCGTCACTTACTCCACATCTGGGCTAGATAGCCACTGGCTGGTGCAGCTCATTAGGAGAAACGAGGCTACCACTTCACAAGTAGACTTGCCAACTCCATTGTGCCTTCCTCCTCTTGGCCCTGCAATGCCCTTGGATCTGGCAGAGAAGTCAGTCCTTATTGCTACTGATCTGCTGATGCTGTGCCCCTTCTCTGCCCACTGTTTCTGGCTGGTCTTCTGAGCCTCTTGGCTGCACCTACATCTCTACCCTCTCTTCATCAGCCAGATGGTCATTCAATCATTCTTTCAGCCCTTTCTGAGATTCCTGGCTTCTCCTCCTCCTCTTGCCCAACACCGCCTGGTTCAGGGTCCCCCCACATCTTCAAGATGCTTCTCTATACCCTGATCCAAAGTTCCTGAAGCTGATTCTTCCTCATCCTCTGAGCCAACTTCTGGGACACCCATTACAATATACTACTAAAACTCCTGTTTCTGTTTGTTTTAACTTTAAATTGGGTGAAATGGTCCACCATAGAGCAAAAGCTGGCTGACAAATGGGCTAATGAATAGAAAGCTTCTAAATTCCAGGACCCATTACTCCTGTGGGATTGAAATCTGTGGCCACTTCAGTGATTCTGTGACACATTGCTGTGATTGGTTGAGGTCACATGATTATCATATTCTCCTGCCTACCTCTGGCCTCTGTGGGTGAGCAGCAACTGCCTGCTTTGGAATTGAGGCTGAAATTTGAAACCTCTTAATGGTGGTAGACAGTGAAGGAAAGATGAGTGAGTGACTCAGATGCCTACTGAAGAAGAAGGGCTGGCTGTGGATTGCCACAGAGGTGAGCCCTCTTTCTTCCTAAAAGGAGGTGGCCCCAGGGAACATACCAGAATGGGGAATGGCATTGCAGGTTTTTTTTTACTGCACTGGGAGGAGCTTCCCCCTCCCCCCCAAAACAGTGGCAAGCGGTTTTATGGTTCAGCCAAGGAGGAGGAGGCTTCATTGGGATTCACCTGAGGGTCATGGAAGGAGGGAAAATGGCACCAGCTTATATTTATATATGGAAAAAAAGAATATTCCCTGCCAACTTCCCATAAGTTAATAGAGAAACAAGCAGGAAGTGTGAACTCTTCTGAAGTGATGATGGCACGGTATACCTTAGGGCTTGAAATTTGGCAGAGTTGTGACCAGGATGCATAACTTCCATGGGATTAAAATTTGACAAACTCATTTCTAATGCTCCCTGCCAACTTCCCATAAAGGAAGTCAATGGGGAAGCCAGCAATAAATTGTAAGTTGCTCCTGCAACTACTGCTTTTTTGCCAGCCTGTGAATATTCTGTTTCTCTGTTTAAGTAAGGAAATATCTCTGAAACAAGTGACCCAATAGGTCATGGGTTGTCTAGTCAAACAAATGTGAGCAGTCCAGTTTTAAGCTAGGAGATTTAGTATATTTGCCTTTTTTATTCCAAACAGTTATGAACATGCAAACTGAATTGTATTCTGGAGTCTTGGCTAATTCACTGTCTAACAGCCTTCTTTGTTTGTTGTTATTTGTGCATCACTCTGCTTTTTATTTTAATTTTGCTGAATGAACTCTGTCACAAAATGCAAAGCATTACTTTTTTAATTACATGGCAAGAAACAAATGTATGAAGAGTTGAATTTATATTCTTTTTCTGCTCAGACTATTCAAGTATATGAAAAGAAAAAGAAAATGCTTCAGAATATTTACAAAATAATGGTATTATCTTTAGCATACCTACCATATATGGAGGGCACGAAATCATGTCATAAATCTCCTTTTGCCAATAGTACATAGTTGATTTTAAAGAGATTTGAAATCCAAAGTTATAGGATCAAGTAAATATATTAAGCCCTTCTTATAGTTCTTCAAAACTTTCTCCCAGCAAAAACAAGAAAAGTTAGATCAAAAATACTGGATTGTGATGAACAGACAGACAGGCAAGCAAAATGAGGTGTTCCACAATCTGTCTATCTTTCTAGGGTGAATAGCAAAGTTTGCCAAATTTATGGAACATTCATATAATTACATATTTTCTTTCCAATTCTGGATCTATGAACCCATTTTAAAGGCCTTCTCACCAGGTTGTTGCACAGCATGTGAACAAATCAATGAATTAGAGGCTGGGGCATCATAAAGCACACATGTCAAACTCGTGATGTCACATGACTTCACACGATGTATCAGATTTTTTTACCCATTGCTGGCAATGGGGTGGGCATGGTTTCCTTGTGACGTGTCTGGCCCGTGGGCCAGCAGTTTGACACCCCTGTCATAGAGAATCTGAAAACCATGAGTTACAGTCAGGTTTTCTGCATCCCCTAGTTAGATTTTTTTTTTAAGCAAAGTGTGCAGAAGCAAATTCCATATTTTTAAAATGCAGCAGGAGCTCTTGTGGATAATTGACTATTCCCAACAAAATCAGGATCCACATGCACAGCATGATGTATTTTAATATTACTACATATTGTTTTCTTTAGCACATCATAAAGTTCACCTTTCTTTCTACTTTAAAATGGATTATCTTCATGCTTCAGATCCATTAGTAATTACCCTTTTCTCTGTATTTTGTGCATTTATCACTCTATTTAGCCAGCAGCAACTCTTCTTTAATTTATCATACTGGAGAATTAAAACTGGAGATGTTTTTATTTTTGTAAATTGTGCTGAGGAAAGATTTGTACGTGAAAAATTATTTTGTGTTATTGGATACATTAAACCAGATTATACTAGTAAAATTACATAAACCATTTCTATTTTTTTTTTAACTTTGATTCAAAAGAATTTTCTTAAGGTAATTTTTTTTTCTTAATAAAACAAAAAAACACATTAACAGAATTATAAGATGTTCAAGAATATGTTTCTCTATTATGGTCATAGAATCATGGTCAGCTTGGAAGGGTCTTAACTCAAAGCAGAGACTCACAGAAGATACAACAGTATTTGATTCAGTATGTGAGACTTGTCAAGCCTTCCAGAGAGCAGTCAGCTCAGGATCCAGAAGGTAGAGAAAGAAAGATATTGGGGATTAATAAGTCTTTTTTGACTACTTTCCATTAGTAAGCAGCAACTGGACCTGGGTGTCAGCTCTGCAGGAATCATTACAAAGCCTTCAGTTAGAACAAAATCAGCTATTGCAATAATGTCTTTATCTTCACTGTTATTCTGTTGTTCTATCATGCTTGCTCAGTTCCTGATATAAATCCTTGGATTCTTAAACTATTCTTCTTCTGCCAAGGCTTGAAACCACTCACTTAATCATTGTGCTTTTTTTTTTTTTTTACTGAGTATCAGTATCACTATCTCTTTGGACTTCTGCATGTAACACTAGGTTGCTATTACAGTAATCCAGTTTCTGACTGATCTTTATTAGATCTGCTAAATCCTAGAATAGGATACTTCTATAATTGATCCAGCAGTATGCCACATTCCTAGCTTCCCACATTGCACTTAAATCTGATAACAAAACTTTTCCCATCAGACTTTGTCAGACTAGGAGGTCTACACATTCAGATGGTAAAAGAAAAGAAAATAGCCATAGCACTTTCCTGAAGGAAAGGAGAACAGTAACAACTCAAAAACATCATCTAAATACATTCTAAAACATCAGAGAGTATGGAAAAATAGAAATATGTTTTTGTAGGAGAATAAGATTTTGGAGGAAATTGGAAGATAGATTTTGGCACAATGTTACTTGCAATGTATGACTATCATTGTCATATCTTGGATGACAGTTAAGTAATTTATCATTACGACCATTAACATTCCCAGTTGTTCCTACATGAAACTATTCTAGCTGTTTAGTACATGATTATTACTTTTGTAATTCCTGTCACAGTAACTTTTTTTAACCAAGTTGAAGCCTTTTTAGATAATGTTTATTCTTCTAATCTTCTCACAGCAGTGTATTGATCTTTTATTGATCTCCACAAAATGAATTACCTGAATGTTTTGGGAAGGAGGACTTCCGTCTTTTCATAAAGAAAATTTCTGAAGTGTCCTGTTAAAGATAAATGTTTCTAATATCATGGCTGACCGATTCAGGGATTGCCAGTTCTCTGTTTCTAGTCATGCTGTAAGGAGAAACCTTCACAGTATGTTACTCATGGTAATGAAACATTAAAATGAAAAATATTTTGGTGTTTTATCATAGTGTGATAATTTTATTTTAAAAAAAAAATTCTTAAGCTATTTGGTTTCCTTGAGCTGAAGCTACTACCTCACGGCATTGTCACACTCCAGAAATGCTAACTGGTTCTAACTTGCCTTATAGATGGCATTCCATTCAGCTGGTGGATTGGAAAAATCAATGAGACACAGACATACTGGGGAGGTTCCATTCCTGATGTGCAGAAGTGTGCTTGTGGAATAGAAGGAAGTTGCATTGACTCCCAACATGACTGTAACTGTGATGCTGACAGAAATGAATGGTGATTGTTTTCCCTCTGATTTCCTTTATTCTCGAGGCCAAATTTTAAACTATGTTTTTGTGTGCTTTTAACTCTTTTCAGGAGAAAAAAATGTCAGGGGACTCTAATACTATAGAGCAACCCTCAGTATTCCTCTACTACACTTTCTTAAAATACATCATCCCCACATGCCCCCTCAAATCTGAAATTGTCTATGATTTTCTTAGGACTGATCCTAATTTTCCTTAGTAGGCATTTTCATCACATTCCTAGATGATACAAGATGGGCAAAAGAATTGAAAAAAAACCCACAGTTTTGAAGAATGTTTGAACCTAATCTTTCCTTTCCTTTCCTTTCCTTTCCTTTCCTTTCTTATCCTATAATTCAAGAGCCAAACATACTGTACATGCTTATTAAATGCCAGTTTTCTTTTGAATAAAAACATATTGTTCTGGTAGTCAGTTTCATGATGTTGATAACCTGAGAAAACTTAAAGAAATACAAACTGTTATTCCATAATATCTGAGAGACCAAGAAGATATGGATAAGAAATGAAAGGGCTTTGAGAAAGATTTTTGACTTTTTTGATAATGGGAAAAGGTGGGTTTATATTGCTCACAATCATGTTTTCATATTTCATTCTACCAGTAATGTATCTATGCCCAAAGAAATATCATTTCAGGACAGTGAAAGATGTTCAAAAACCAGGAATTTATGTTACCTTGTGGTTGAAGAATTGGTCTATACTTTCATGGAAAGAGATATTCTTGTCTACTCAACTTCTGGGCTAGTAATATAATAGCATACAGGCATTATAGCATGTAATGTGGTAACAGCCACATTTTTGAGATTTCAAATTAAAGTTTTCCTATTTTTAAATATTGAAGTAATGATGTAATATTTCATAGGTGTGTTTTAGAAATTTAACAAAGCTCAGCAATCCAGCACCAAATATGCTTGCTTTCCAAACTGTATATATTCATCAAGCCAATATTATAAGTTTGAAGACCACAGAGTATTGTCATTGTGAAAAGCTCATAAACTTGGATAAATGTTAGCAAAGTATCCTTTTTTATTCTCACGAAGGGAATAAAGTAGGGAGCAAATAATCACTGATTGGCTGACAGGTTTCTGTGCTTAGGTATTCAGTGGAAAGGAAAAACTTTGATTGCTAATTCTATGTAAGTTCTAGAGCTCAGAGCTAAAGAAGCTTCTTGGATAAGAAGTGAAACATTTTCAAAGAAAAACAAGAAAATCCAGTTGCCTCTTGAAAAAGCACCTTAGGGACAACCATGACCTGGATGACTGAAAATCTCTGTGAACTCTAGATTCACAAACAAGTAGACTTGCCATGTAGACAGCATTCTGAGTCAATCTCTATTTATCTTAAAGCTCTTTAAAGATGGATTGTAAAAATTCAGGAAACAAAAGAATGGCCATTAGACAGAGTTCCTTCAAGAATAGAAAAACCTCTGTAAATGATAAATGATCTTTTGTGTGTTGAAAAATCACATAATCTGGATATGGAGTGGGAAAGATATTAACCGAGTGGAAAAAAAACCTACTTTAAGAATTGCAGGAAATATTTATCTGAGAATCTATAATATTTCTTTCTTCTATTTAAAAATGTGAGATTAGTTTCTCTGTAAAATGGTAGTATAGTGTGGGATGGAGGAAGAGGAAATATTGGAGACTTACAGGTTTATTTTTCAGAAGCAGAAAAGAAGGTAACATTTTTTTCATTATGTAGAGAACAGTTTGCCTGGGATACACTAAGAAAAGATCAGTAAATGCCTGCTGTCATACATTCACGCCAGAATATTATAAAGATGAAAGATTTTAGAAAGCATTGCCAGGTCAAAACATTTGTCATAAATGAACAGTTCAGGAATCATACCCAAATCAAAATACTGGCTTAAAATAATGATGCTTTGATTAAAACATTAATGTAATTTACACATGAAGTTTTCATCAATGCAGGGAGAGAATGTTAATTATTATTAACCATCTTTAATTTTTAAAGCCTGCTATGGCTGTAATATGCCATCTAATTTTATCACAATACTACGAAATGCCAACTGCTTTAAAAAGAGAAAGGATTGAGCAAAAAACCTTCTTCATTTCCTCTTCTGTAATTGTGACAACTTCATCCTTTCATAATCATCTAATATTTTTGCAAAGTTCTGCTAAAAACCCAATCAATTTGCATTTTCCTCATGCATAAATTGGATTTTCACTTATTAAAAAGCAGCCCATTTTTAAAGCTAAATATAAATATGCATATATACAGTTTGGAAAGCAAGCATATTTGGTGCTGGATGCTGAGCTTTGTTAAATTTCTAAAACACACCTATGAAACATATCATTACTTTAGTATTTAAAAATAGGAAAATTTTAATTTGAAATCTCAAAAATGTGGCTGAGAAAGGGCAGTCTTTGCCTATCTCTTAATTTTTATTCCCTCCCCAGAAAAAGAAAGAATTGTAGACATTTTGCATTGGATACTTCCCTTCTGTCTCACCTAATAGGTTCAAGGCATTGTACATGTTGTTCGTTTTTTTAAATTATCTTGAAGATCTACTGTGCTAATGATGATCTCTGAACAAAGTTTTATTTTTGGCTTATCATTGATGCTATCTAACCCCCACTCCATGCACTGCTTCTCTTTTTTTTCTTTTATGAAATATCCAGAAGACCCTTCAAGCACCTTTTCCAATTAACAAAAAATATTAAAGGGGATAAATTTATGTGACCTTCATCTCACTTCATCAGATCTGATCTTATTTGACACAGTTAATAAAATTTATTACTTGAAAAAGTGCTACCAGATTCCTTCTGATTTTTGCCCCATAGACAAACAAGGCTCTCCTGCTACAGTGAAAGATTATTTGAGGATTCAGATTTATTTTGGGTTCATCTGTTCAAGACTTTCAAGATAAGATCATTAATCATAATATGAAAAAGACAAAAAGTCAGATTCTAGTTTATGTTATAGTTACATTGCTTCTCCTCCTTTGAGTGAAATTAAAATTGTCCTTCATATTTGGAGAGAGAAGTGTTGCTGCAAATATTGAATGTAACAAATTCAGAATTATTTCTGTGATAAAATAAAACATTGCAAAATTGTTGGCTTGACCAATCTATTCCAATCCCTTACTCACTACATTTTGGGGTCAGAGTAGGGAAAAAACCAAAGGCAAAATTTCTAGACATTTGAAAAATCTAAGAAGAACAGTCGTAATACATCAGGGCACATCATGTTTGGGAACAAGTAGTTTTGAGATAGATAAATAAATATCTTTGAAACAATATTAGTTCTAGAAAACTATTCTGATTACAGGATGATGAGTGTATGATTCAGTTCAAGGGAAAATAATCCAGTTAGAACCTGAATTATGTGCAGGTAGTCCTTGACATATGATGGCAATTAGGACCAGGATTGCTGTTGCTAAGTGTTGCAGTGATAAAATATGACCACTTTGCTTAGTGATGGCAATCTAAGCAGTCTCAGTTGTTGTCAATAAGTGAATGGCCCTGTTGTTAGGCAAAGCAATCTCCTTCTGGCTTCCCATAATCAAGTCAGTTGCAAGCCCGGGACCTACTGGTGGGAAAGGGTGTGGGAGTATGTGTAGGATCAAAGAGACTATGCAAGACTCTTGGAACTGCTTCTATTTTTAGGCCTAGATTTGAGAGGATTCTGAAGCCTCTCTACTCTGGGTCTGAAAATCCTTTGTGGCTGAAATTTCTGCTTGGTTTTCGGTACAGAGAGTCCAAGTACAATTTCTAGAGTCAAGAGAGAAACTGAAAATGCCCTGTTCCAAAATCCTATTTGTAATTCAAAAATCTCTATAGAGATTTTTTTGAGCCAGCCCCCAAAGACAAGTGGGAATTATCATGGTAGGCAGCAATGGCTTCCAAGCGGCATTAACATTCTTGGAAAGGTGGCAGGGAAGATTGCAAATGGCAATCACATGATCCCAGAGTGCTTGGCAACCTGTTGTACTTGCAAGCACTCAGATTGTAATCACGTCACCATGGGGATACTGTAGCGACTATAATTTTAGGGATTAGTTGTAAGTCCTTTCATTCAGCACAATCATGACTTAGAACAGTCACTGAATGAATCACAGTAATCAAGAATTATCGGTCATTTGACTCGAGGCCTAAGTTAAAAAAAAGTGTCCATTGATTGTTGTAGGAAAATTAGAATTTTATTTTCTTAAAGAATGGGAAACCAATTATAACACCGTGGACACTTCTCAGAAGATTAAGCTTGCCACATGTGAAAAGAACTCAGGGAATCTGGAACTGGATTTCTCTGAAAACCATTAGTTATTATATCCTGTGAATATTTAATAAATTATTGAAAATAAATATTAAATATACTAAATTGATTTGGAACATTTTGATAAATTGCTTTGAACCAGTTCAATAAACTGAATCAATGGTTTAGTTTGATCATATTAAGGAAACATGTCCAGATCAATCTTGATGGATTCATTTAAATAAACGTAACGCACCCTAACTGATTTCATTGGATTCAGATGTTTTCTGGACATACATGTATGAACTTTAATAGTGCAAATCTGAATCAATTTGGATTTAGGTCAGTCCAATTCATATTTACTTTTTAATGCAATTTGAATGTCCAATGAAAACTGAAATTTTTTCTCAATTAATTTGAATGTTTACACAATCTTAATAACTGTTGTTTTTCAACTTTTTTAAGATTTAAAAGGAATAGTTGCCTGTTCTGTGGACATAAAATATCTAACTTCAGAGGTGACTGTTCATAAAGCAAGTCTTTGCAAATTTTTATTAGCAAAAAAAAATATTATTAATTCCCTTATTTTTTTATTTTATAAATTCCACAGATTTTCTTCAAAACAATTGTGTCCTCAAATACCCAGAAAAGGTTAAGATTCTCCCATCCTTACTATAATGCAGGCATGTCAAACTCGTGTCATCATGTGACGTCACGTGACATATCAGGACTTTTCCCCCATTGCTAGCAATGGGGTGGGTGCGGTTTCGACGTGACGCATCCAGCCCACAGGCCGGCAGTTTGACATGCCTTCTGTAATGAAAGAAACTTAAACATTGGATATCGTTTGTTGGAAAACATGAACAAAGTTAAGACTTGCATGTTATCCTGCAGCAATTAGACTTCAAAAAACCATGATGATCATTTGGTCCCAAATCATTGATTTGTCACAAGAATAGAACATGGTTCAGGTTTGTAGCTCCCTGTCAGAACACATGCTTTGTAAGAGCACCCTCCCATATTCAGGATCTTGGAGGTGTCTGCCAGTCAGAGTCACAAAATGTCTGCCAATAAGTGTCAACATTGCTGAACTGACCTATATTCTGATTCAGTACAGGTGGTCCTTGTTTAACAATTTTGGGCATCAAGTTAATAATGCTTACAGCCAGTTCTCATACTTATGAATGGTTACAGCATCCCTAAAGTCATGCGATCACAATCTGGCTATTTTGATGATTGGCTTGCAATTATCATGCTGCAATATCCTCTGCAATATCAGTCATATTTGTAACCTTCAGTGCCAGCTTCTGACAAGCAAAGGCAATGGGGAAGCAAGCATGAGGTTGCAAATGGCAATCACATGATGTCACACTTACTGCAAGTATGGGATTGACTTAAAAATAGCAGTTTTTCACCATGGTGTTTGGCTATGGAAATTCCAGTCCTAATTATTATAATTAAATGAGCACTACCAGTAAATAATTAGTCCAAAAAACATAATTATTCAAGAGTCCCTCTAAGCAAGAATACAGCACTTACACTTTATTTAATAAGTTGAACAGTGAGTGTAGGGAATTAAAACCATTCAATTCAATAAGCCGAAATATTTTCTGCTATTTATAATTTATTTTCTTTCTTGCTAAACTGCATATGGCTCTGTTTCTTAAAGACATGGGCATGTTATGAATAATTACCTATTTACTGTAAGAGTTTCCTAATAGAGCAGGAAAAGTCATGGTTGCATAAAGTTAGATGCTGTGGAGCTATAATGGTTTCAGTCTACCATTCATGGTATATCAGTTTTTGCTGCTAAAAACACTGTAATGTTCCATGTCATGACTATCTTATCCATATCTTCTCTTCAAAAGCAGCTATTGTTGTTGTTTTTGCACACATCTATAAAGGTAGTAGTATCCTTCCATAGGTCTGAGGGTGGTCGTGAACATTTGTTCTGAAACTCCCTCTCTTTATTTGTGGCAGGACAAATGACACAGGACTCCTGTCCTACAAAGACCATCTGCCAGTAACAGAACTTATCATCACAGATACAGGCCGTCCAAATTCTGAAGCAGCTTATAAACTTGGACCTTTACTCTGCCAGGGCGATAGTAAGTAAATCAGTTGTGTGATTTAGTATCAAATGAAATCTCTCTCTCTCTCTCTCTCTCTCTCTCTCTCTCTTTCTCTCTCTCTCTCTCTTTCTCTCTCTCTCTCTCTCTCTCTGTGTGTGTGTGTGTGTGTGTGTGCTCAAGCACACAATTCGTAGGATTTTCAGATTAAATTTGAATCCAATTTTTTTTCTGCACAGTAGCTGATCATTGGACAGGGAAAGAGCTGTATTCCTCTCATCAGTGTTATGAATATAAAATCAAATTGACTAATTGTTTATAGTGTACATTTGATCTGGAAATCTAAATCAAGTCATAACCTTCTGAAAATGGCAATGGTTACTTTTGCAGCTAAGCCTATGCACATTTGCTGAGAAAGTCATCTCTACACTGAGTGATACTTATTTGAAAATAAAAGTGTAGATTTAATATCATACTTGAAATACAAACTTGTATCTGTAAAAGATGATGAAATGTAATTTAGATTAGAACATTCAGAACTGCAATAAAATGATTTTGAGTAAGCTCTTGCTTTAAGTTTGCTTTCAATAACTTTGGAAGCATTTGAAGCTTACATCCGCTCTATTTTCTGTATCACTATGAAACATTTTGGGCATACAATTTTTTATATGTATTTCTCCTTGTGAATCCAGGAAAATGCATATATCTTTGCCTTAAGAAAAATGCATATAGCAAAGATATATAAGTACAAGCAATATACATTGTATATATATTTCCCCAGAGTATAGACTATTGCATTTATTTGTCCTAATGTATTTGAGAATAAATGAGTGAAGTTTGTGTGTCTGTATGTGTATGTCTGTGTGTGTAGAAAATAACACTGTGGAATTTGAAAAAGTAGGAAAAATATAATGTTATATTCTGTATATTTTTTCTTAACTTTAGAACCAAATCAATGTATCTTTTCTGCTTAGTCAAAGAACTTATGAATTCAGATGTTAATAAATCAGCACATGCTGGAATACTGTGAAATTAGATAGAAAGTGCTATCTATTTATATCCTGCCTTCCTGATGAGAAAATTCCCTTAAGGTGGTTTACAAAATTAAAACTTTTAAACAAGAAGATTAAAAACTAATACAAAGTAAGAAAAAAAGAATATATTGAGTATAACTGAAACTTGAGGTTTAGAACTGATTTGTAATTTATCTATCATATTTTTTTTTATTTTTTTTGGGGGGAAATGACATTTCTAAAAAAGAGAGATCATGAAACTAACCAGAGAAAATATATTTAGCTTTCATTGGTTGATATTGCCTGATTTAATTTAACAAGTAATATACAGCTTATGAAAGAGATAAATACATAGATAAGGATATATTAGAATGGCATGAAGAGATTTAAATATGCGGTATAATGGCAAACAAAGTAACTTTAGGGCTTAAATTTCTTGAAAATTGATTAGGAAAATCAATTTCCTAACATGCTCATGAACTGCATAATAACTGGTTATTTCATGTAAGACTGATAAGCACTCTTAGAATTAGTACAATAGCCTTGTTCTAGTCTTTGGATGGGTGGTAAAGCAGTGCAAATGAAACTGTAGTGTAATTTCCATTAACTAGGAATTAACTATTAGCTATAAAACCTGCTTATGCAAATACATGCATTTTAACTTTCCTTCCTTCCTTACTTCTAATATTTGTAATCTACTGGTTGGTCTTGAAACGGAACTTCAAGGTGGCCAACAATCAAAGATGAAAATAAGAAAAGTAATAGACAACAAGAAAAGAACAATCAAAAGTTCACAAGAAAACAAATAGCAATAGACATAAACATAAGGGAAGTGTCTTTCAGATTCATGATGATGGGATTGCTTTCATCATCCTCAAAAGCCATCCAAGAGGACCCAGCATGAATCTTTCCTAGTTGCCAAAATGTCATACTATTGAGAAAGCAATTGAGAAGGTCCTTTGGTATCACCAATTTGACTTTTTACATTGCATGATTTAGAAATAAGCCTTTGTAGATGATGTGGAAAAAAAGGCAGACTTGAGCTACATGTGAATTGTGGCACTTATGAACTGAGCTTTCATTTCAAAGGAAGGCATTTAGTGCACTATTTGGGGATAATTAATATATCAAATGCCAATTCATTAGCTACAACTATATGTGTAATGGAATTTTTTACCTTCTTTTTTCTATATTCAGGAGAGTTTTGGAATGCAGCCTCCTTCAACACCGAGGCCTCCTACCTCCATTTCCCCACTTTTCATGGAGAACTAAGTGCAGACATGTCCTTTTTTTTTAAAACTACAGCTTCTTCTGGAGTGTTTTTAGAGAATCTGGGAATCAGAGATTTCATAAGGATAGAACTGCATTGTGAGTCACATTTAAATACATTTCCATTGGTTCCTTTTGAGGATTTATTTTACACATTTTGACCATGCCTTGATTGCTAAAGCTGTTTGAAAATTTGAGAAGTGGCTTTACTAAAGCCTAAAGATGGAGTTGAACAATCACAGGACTACAGCATATGAGCATTATACTATTTATACCTACTCCTATAATTTCAAGATTTCAGTAATATTCTGCTTCTTCTCATGGTTTTCAGGGCAAATGAATGTTCTGTTGCTAAATGAAACATTTGTTAAGTGAATTTTGCTCCATTTTATGATATTTCTTGTTACAGTTAAGTGAATTACAGTTAAGCCAGTAACATAGTTGTTAAGTGAAACTGGCTTCCCCATTGACTTTGGTTGTCAGAAGGTCGCAAAAGAGGATCACATGACCCCCTGAGAACACTGCAACCATCATAAGTATGAGTTGGTTACCAAGTGTCCAAACTTTCATCACGTGGCCCTGGGGATGCTGCAACTGTCACAAGTGTGAAAAACAGTCATAAGTCTCTTTTTTCAGTACCATTGTAATTTTGAACACTCTCTAAATGAACTGCTGTAAGTCTAGAACTATCTATAGTATAGTGTATTTGCAACACTGTGCAGTTTCCATGAATAACATTTTGTGTTAAATGAAGTCATCTTTTCCTAGGACTGATTGTATTATAGTATCAAATGATGTCTATGGACAGCTATCAGTGTCTTCACTAGGGAGGGGAAAAAAAACCCATGTATAATATAATAATTCCATGTTGAATTATAAAGATTCTTACATTGTATGAAAATTATAATATTATTTTAAGAGTAGCTGGAAAAAAATTTATTCTCTACATTTATTTTTGTTTTGTTTTACAAAGCAGAAGATAAGGAATAATATGAAATATCCAAGTTGGCCCTGGTTTGGAGTTCTTTCTTCACATATAGGCTTCAGAGACCAAACTTTTAACAGTCATTTTGCACTGCACAACTATTTTCTTTCTTTTCTATGTTTTGCAATACAATCATATATACCATTTATTCTGCTTTCCTGATAAGATGTGGTTTCAGGCCATACCAGAAAAATATTTGAAAAGCTGAAGAGAAAGGCAGCGCATCAACTTAGAAAACAGACTTCATTGTTGAAATTTGCTGACTGGCAGGGACTAGCATTGAGTATCTGTTCCACATAGTTACTGTCAAGGCTTTGAAAATGACAAGCACTCTACCAGTGCCACAGATTCAAGGTGTTTTTTTTAGCTTGCAAACACTAAAAGAAAGAAAAGATGGAGAATTTATGTAGATCAGAGCAGCTGAGTCAGTCTAATGTACGGCTAAGTGATGAACTAGAATGAGGGTGATCCAGATATGATATAGCACATTCACTAATCTTAGTCAGAGATGTTATTATTCAGAAATTTTGGAGGAAAAAAGAGTGCTTTTTTGAGATGGGATATATGATCTGAAGAGAAACCAGAGAGAACTCGTGAAGAAACAAATGCATTCTCTATACTTTACAATAGAAGTTTCGGATTTCTGGAAAAAAAGAGATGAGAGAAGATTTGACAAAATATAATAATTTTACCTATCACCTTTCAAAAAAAAAAAAAAACAAACTTCCTGTTCAATTATTCAGATACTTACTGTGGAATATGATAGCTGATGGACTTTAAATCAAAATGTCCTCACAGGATAAAGGACACGAATTTGCTCTTTTTCTGATGTTTTGTTATATTAAATAACAATATAATTGCCCTGCCATCTGGTACATCGATGGGAACTGCTATAAAATACAGTGATGCGATAGCCCCACAGAATCATGAAACCAGCATATAACAGAGCATTGAATTCCACATATTCAAGCTGGAATCTTAAGAATTGTCAGACTTTTATGGGTCATTGGTGGACCAAACTGAAGATGGTAGCATTTCTTTCATGAAGTGCCAGAATGCACACAGTGCACGATGCAGGGACCAATCTGATGCTTTATTTACCTAACCAACAAGTAGTTCACTTATGTTGCTGTATGCACCAAAATGTAGCCATGCTGCTTCTCCTGTTCTGGTGGCATCTCAAATCAGGCTGCATCTGCAGAAGTTCTTGTTATGATGGTTTGTTGCAACAGAGAAGACATCAGCTATGTTTAAAACAAAAAACAAAAAACTCCTTTTCAAATGCTGTTGAAATGTTTTGCTGTTCAAATGCCTGGATTTTAAGGATCTATAAATCAACCAAGGTCTAATTTGAATTATGATTCAGTTCAAATTTACAATTTAATAAGTTAATCCAATGTGATTTTGACTCAGTTTCACGATTATATTCAACGATATACTTTGAGGGGTAATCTGCTTGCTTTTGAATTTTGTCTTTGGCAATAACACATATCTGGCCAGTTATTGTGAATCCTCTGAATGCAGACAGCCTCATGGTGGCATTTCATCTCTGTTAACATACGGAGGGGGTGGAGGATTTTGTATTTTCAATTTCAAGTGAAGAAAACTATTTCTTCAGGTTTTTAATTGAATTTTATGTTGCTATTCCCTTTACTTGCAATATCTATCAATTAAGTCCTTCCTTTGAATCACAGTTAGTACCTAAATGAGCTTGAACTGTTTTCTACCTTTTTGATTGGTTTCCATTATTTTTGATATTTTGATCCACACTGCCAGTTTCAGTTGTGTTCATAAAGGATATGTACTAGACATAGAATATAGGTCAGTTAAAATATACATCCTGATACATAAATATCAATTTCTGAATGCATTCATTCTTTTAAGAGTCCATTCTTTTTTCATCTATTTTTTTTAAAAAAATACTAAAAGCGTGGGAGGGGGAAGAGATTCCTATGCAGTGTTCAAGATCATAGGTTATCTCCAAATACTGAGCTAAGAAAAAAGAAAAGGAGGTAGAAGGGAGCAATAGACATCATCAGTAGGTTCAGACTGTTGCTAAAAATGCCAGAAGCTTATAGGAAATTACAAGCCTCATTGTACAGGTATATATCCATTTACATATTGATATTTTTTTTAATCTTCCAGGCATTTTAAAATCATTAGTTTGTTTGGTGTTTTTGGAGAGCATTCAATTTTAGAAAAAGCTACAAAAAAGCTAATTAAATGGGTTTTTTTAATTCCTTAATTATGTAAGAAGCAGATTATTTCATTGACCCAGGAATATATATTAAATATGTAATTGATGGTTTCCATGAGATTCTTGTCTGAAGGTTTGTACACTTCTAGACTCTTGCTAATTTATCACTCCTCCCATATAGATCCTTGCTTATTGGGAGTCCCGTCTTGAGTAAATGATGGCCCAACATATTTAATTTGATTATTTTGCTATCCCAAAGCTGATTTTGTTTTAAGCACCAAACAGGGCCACTGATTTTTATGCCGAGTCAATAACTGATTTCAGAAAAGAGCCCTGCTTGCAAAATGATTAGAAAATAAGTTCTCTTAATTGAGACACAGGAGCAAAATTCAATTGACTGGTTCTTCTCAACGTAGTAAACTCTGAATATAAATGACTTTACCACTCCATGCTAGGTTATTCATTTCAAGTTATATTCTTCAAGTATATGTGCAGCACTTGAAATATATAAAACCTGCTACTTAATGCCTTCATTCATTCATTCTAGAGTATATTTTTCACAAAACCTATTCTTGAAAAACATATATTTTGACTACCTCTATGAATATTCTTTTCAGTATAATACCACTCAAAAATGAGATGGACTAAACAGTCTACAGTGAGTAGTTCAATTGAGCAGAAAAGTATATTTATGTTGAGAAGAGCAATTATGTGACCAAATCTGATTATAGCTAAGCTTATGTCCTGTCTTCCTAACAAGGAAGCACTTGAGGCAACTAACATCTTATGCCTCAAAAATAATACAGCAGATTCAAGTATGTAGCTTGCATCCAAATGTTGGATTGTCATAGTTTTAATGTCCAGAGTAGCCAATAAATGATCTGGAGAGATTCCATTTACAAATTTATGTATAATTAAACAAATGACTTTTCACATAAATTTACACTAGAATTAAATTTCAGTTAACTCCTGTTTCAGACAACGATAGGAAGTCTACGTAATTTCAGACAGATACTTCTTTTATCTCAGAGATAACTCACTGATTTTTTTTTAGCATAAACTTGCATGTTTGCCAGCCAAAAATTTGTAATCAACAAACCTGCATTTTCTAGGTTGTATTACCAAGGTTCAGGTTCAATATATCAAAATGGGCATTTTTTTTTCAAATTTTTGCCTAACATGGACAAAATATGAAAGAGGCTGGATTTAATGGCCCCTATGCGACTGAACTTCTATGACAGGAAAACATAATATTACATAACAGGGATATAATTCCCTTATCACTTTGCCTGCCATGGGTATTGATTCCATGACTTTTATCAGAGCATCTCCGAAGGCACCACTAGTGGTGAGAGGGTGAAAAAGAAAACTCTAGCACATAGAAATATAAAGGGGATCCTTTGAGATCCCAGTAAAGTTGTGAATCTGACTATAAACATTTCCTGTTATAAAACATTTGTATGGGAGAGAAAAACATACAAAGAATCCTTGTTTACACTACTCATATAGTCCAGGTCTAGACCAAACAGTTTAACACACACACACACACACACACACACACACACACACGCACACAATTCTCTTTTGATAGAAGACAATATTTGTAACTCAGGATTGAACTGTGAGGTCCTTGATGCTCTCTGAACTTGGTGGTTTTCTTGCAGACATTTCATTACCAAACTAGCTAGCATTATAAGTGCACCAAATATAGAAGAAGCCCCTGCCATTCTTGTAAATAAAAATATTTCTTCTAAAAAATAGCTTTGAACTGCCAAGACTTCCAAGGGACATGAGAGTTATATAGCTGGCCACATCTAGGCCAAATCAAATAGCATTTTAACAATGCTTGTAATTGAATATGAAATATTTGCCGAGTTCTAGAAATTTTGTATGACAACATGAACAGTGAGTTTGGCTGTTCCAAGTTGTTTTGTTGTCTGTTTTAACTGATGTGAGTGTTCACTTTTGCTTCAGTTCAGACTTATGTTGGGAATTGAATAAGCACAAGTTTTATGTTTCCAATACAATATTGAATTGCATAATTTATGGCAATTGTTTTTTTAAAAGGATGCATTTTTGACCAAATATGAAAATATTTGGCATCTATAGTTAATATTTAAATTTTATTCCATGCACTTGAAATAATTCCAGATGGATTGAAATTGTTATTAAAACCATGTAACAGAAAGTAAATTTAATATACAAGACCAATAGAATATTTCAGCTAAATATACTATTTTATTTGCAGCAACTCAAATCACTGTACCTATTTGTACATCAGCAAATTATAATTAGCTGCTTAATATTCACATGCATTTTTTTCTACTGTAATTTCACACCTAAATTATTGTTTGAGTTTTAATAAAGTATTATTTTCAGCATCTATCCAATAAGAACATCAAAATTGATGTATAAAGTCATATTTCCAACAAACTACATTGATCTAGTCTTTCATTTAGAACCAAAAAAGAGAAAAGTACCATATTTTCAGTATTACTTTGAAACTTTTGTGATTTTTTTTGTGTGTGTGTGTGTGATTGTCATTCTAAAGTGTTTTAGTTATTTTTAACTTTCGTAGCACCACTTGAAGTGACATTTTCATTTGATGTGGGAAATGGGCCTAATGAAATCACAGTGCAGTCACCTATTCCCTTAAATGACAACCAGTGGCACTATGTGAAGGCTGAAAGAAACATCAAAGAGGCGTCTCTGCAAGTAGACCAGCTTCCTCAAAGGATTCACGCAGCTCCATCTGATGGGCATATCCGTTTGCAGCTCAACAGTCAGCTCTTTGTTGGTAAGTCTAACATTACAGAATGATTTTAGGTATTCACATGGATACAATCAATAGCCATTTGACTTTCTTAGGAAAAAAATAGATTAATGTGTTTTAGGCAGTAGAAGACAACTTACATAATGCATACAAATATGTCATAATTGGAAGCGGTTTCTATTATAAGATGAAAATAGAATGAAAAGTAGCTCCATACAGAGATGAAATGTCAACTACACTTTATGGACTTAATTCATATTTTAGTAGATATATTGAAATATGCCATTCAAAAAAAAAGCATGGTTTGTTTGCTTTTTGTTAAAAAAAAAATCCAGTCTATCTAATAATCTTGTTTTAACTGCTGGTCTCTGATCCAGATATTACCAAAATCTGATTTAGATGAGGTTTGGAAGTAGACAAGGTACTAGTATCTGTTTCAAAATGACCCCAGATTAAAGGAACAAGAGTCCTTTTCTCTGAAAATGAGACATTATTTTGTAACCAATGTATAAGGAAGTAACTATAAAATGATTTTACTGAAATATTTCTGATGTCACCCATTGTGTGCAAAGTGTATTAATCAAACTATTGGTGTTAATTCTATAAGGAATAAAACAATGGAAAGGAATACAAAAAATTATTCAACAAAATGACAAAATTCCCTTTATGATATAATGGAATATTTTGTCCAATATTTTTTTTAGTACCCACATGTGACAATAAAAAGCCATCTTTTTATATGCATTATTTTTCACTTCTTGCTTTTAACAAAAGATCCTGCTCTTTTGTCAAATTCTCTGTTTGGAAAGAATTGAAATATTAGTTTGTTGGCAGTTCCTCAAACATCTATGCAATTATTCTTTGAGAAGCTAGATGACAGTGAAGCAGAAGAGAGGAAGAGCCTCTTTTATGATTATAAAAGCTTAATGGAGAATGTGCTCCTAGAGATAGGGCTTCATAGGTCATAAAGTACACCCTGAACTGGGAACCTTTAACCAATGAAAATGTAACTTTAATTAATATGTTGCTGCAGCATGCTGGGTTAGCTGAAACTGCTAAATGCATTTTCAAGAACAAACCCAAATCTTTAGGAATTGTACACCTGCTTTATTTGCATAAGGTAAATTGAAAATGCACTAAAGGGTGCCTTTGGATTTAGAACTGAACTTAAAAATGCTGCAAAGTTGCAAACTTGAACCATGAAAGGTAAAGTTATCATCCAAAAGAGTTAAATATCCATTTTTTGAAATCCCTTTTGGTTTTAAACAGTACCTTTGTCTTTGGATTAATCTTCCAGTTTTTGTCTTTGTATACTTGCTAACATTAAAAAATAGCCTAGTCTTTTTATTTGGGTTTGTGAGAACATTGGGGCACAGTTTATGGATTTCTTAAAGAATGAAAGACACACAACTGCAACAAAAAAGCAAGTTTGCAAGTTCTTAACAACTACCCATTCCTCAATATAAATCACACTTTGGATTATGACAACAAAAATAATAGATCACACAAACAGCAAGAAAGACAGAGAATTGCAGGAAGCCAAACATTTAGAAATCTGGGCCATCAACAAATCAGATTAGTGGAGATAAATATGATCTATTAATCTACTAAACAATCAGGTCACGAACAGCAACCAAGTGAAATCAAAACAAAAGCAGTACCATTTTCAGCCACCAATTAATTGATACTTTTCAGTAAATCTGCTCTAACTTAAAATCTTAGACTATAAATATTGCAAGCCAATGATCATTTTTGAACTGCTGTACTGAGGAAGTCTGACTCCAATATAGAGTTAAGATTCTATAGAAAAAAAAATCAATATTCATTATTGATCTCCCAAAATCCAATCTCTCCTCCCCAACTATTAAGTGAATAAAGGACTTCTCAACCCACAGAACCTGAATACCGGTAGGTGCACTGGGTTTTTGTGCATGGCACCACATAGAAAATTGGAAACTGGTTTGGTGTTGGCATTAGAGTTAAAGTGTGAAGCTTTCGTAACACTAAAAGCTTTGAGAAAAGAAGTGTTTTGTCACAGTGAAAAAAAATGGAAGCGGAGAAAATAGGTAAAAAAGAAATTCAATGTTCTAAGCCTAGGGCAAGCAATTTTTTCTCCCACATCAAGAATTCTGCTGGCATTTGAAGGGCGTGTCAGGACCCCTTTCTTGCAAGATTACCTGATACATACCTTATACCCTTTTGCTATACCTGTCGTTCTTTTATCAAGACACAGCTGTCAGAATGTTAATGGGAAGAGTTGAAGGGAATGTCAGCATAATCTTAGTTTGAAAAGATTAAATATTTTTAAATATTTAAATAGATGGGCAGCAACAGAGAAATCTTTCCCCTTTGTCAAACAGTCACACATCTCTCTCTCTCTCTCTCTCTCTCTCTCTCTCTCTCTCTCTCTCTCTCTCTCTCTCTCTCTCTCTCTCTCAACACTTTTAATATTTTAAATATTTTTATTTTATTTATTTTTATTCCATAGTGCTGCACATAGAAGATTTTGGAAAGTATTATTGAAGCCATATTATTTTTCAATTGGGCATGCCAGCCAGACTGTTACCAATATATGAGGACACAAACTTCATTTTTTTTTTCCCATGGGAATTATTCCCTTCAATTAACATGCTGATCTGCTTGCTTAACTATAGTACTGACCTAACTTTGAAGCAAATTGGGTGTGTGTTTAGAAGGGGAGAACAGATCATATAATACACTCAGCAAACTGATTTCTCATTTTTTTCAAAACACAAATTGGGGTTCCAAATTGATCCATTTTGAAGCATAATCCATTCCAGAGATAACAATCTCTTTCAAAGTGATCACATCCTGGCAGGTACAGGATCACCTCTTCCCACTTACCCATTAAAAGAAAGGAGCATACACAAAAGTGTTGAGAGAGAGAGAGAGAGAGAAAGAGAGAGAGAGAGAGAGAGAGAGAGAGAGAGAGAGAGAGATGTGTGACCCTTTGACAAAGAGGAAAGATTTCTCTGTTGCTGCCCATCTATTAAAAGTAAGAAAGCGGAAAACAATTGAAAAGATGAGCCAGGAAAATATGAGGGCAATTTGGAAATAAACCTCGGTTTGATTATTAATGACAGACACTCACAGATACAGAACTTTTATTATACACATTAGAAAACTACAAGATTACATTACTTTTTGACATAATCGCCATTCAAATTGAGGCACTTGTCATAATATCTTACAAGTTTTGAAATTCCTTAATAATAGTTGCTCGGCACCAAATCTGTGCTATGGGGGGGGAATCAAAAACATCCCAACAGAACTGCTTCAAAAAAATTTGGGTGTGTCTAGCGGTGTGCGGGCAAGAACCACACCAGAAGTCAGCATGCCATGTTGCTTGTTATGGATGGCTCATCTGAGTTTTCATAACGTTTCACAATAGACTTCTGAATTAATGGTCGAACCATGCTCCATGAACTTTACTAGCAGTACACTTTTGGCATCTTCACATTTGGTGGGATTTTCTATGGCACTACTTCCGGTGTTGTATTGGTTCACAATAATGCTTGCCTGCACACCACTAGATGCACCCAAGAACTTTTGAAGAAGTTCTGTTGGGATGTTTTTGATCACCCTCCCCCCAGCCCAGCAACTACTACTACTAAGGAATTTCAAACCTTGTAAGACATTATGTCAAGTGCCTCAATTTGAATGGCAATTATGTCAAAAAGTAATGTAATGTTGTAGTTTTCTACAACATAAAGTTCTGTATCTGTGAGTATCTGTCATTGATAACCAAATGGAGGTTTATTTCCAATTTGCCTTTGTAGTATAACTTTCCTCAAATATTGAGTATAAAATCTTAATTTTAATTATGATCACTTGCATAGAAGTAGTCATCCTGCTCTTCACTGTTTCAGTCAGGTGTCACTTGAAGTATTGTGTTCTCTTATGCACACCACAGTTTTAAAAGGACACTTATAAACTGCAGCAAGTCAAGAGAAGGGCTACCAAGATGCTGAAAGGACTGGAAATTCCTGCAAGGAACAGTTAACAGACCTACTCTAGGCATTTTGGTTTGCAGAAGACAAGGTTGGTGGGGTAGTGGTGCTAGTGATGAGAGCTGTCTTCAAATCTCTTCAAATCACTGTAGATAGTTCAGACTTATTCTCACTCACTTCAGAGGGTAAGACAAGAAGTAATGGGATAAAACTTCAAAAATGTAGATACAGATAAAACATCACAAATACCTTCTTGACAGTAAGAGCCATCAGTCACTCGAATAGGTTATTGCATAAGGTGGTTTCTTCCCTTTTACTGAAGTTTTTGAAACAGGATAGTCATCTGTCAATGATGATGTAGGGAATGGGTTTCGACTTAATGGTTTCTTAGGTCCCTTCCAACTTTATGATGCAAAGAATACAGGGTAAAGACTGGAATAGGCCTATTGTTGACTAAGGGAATGGTTTTTGCAGAGTGAATGAGGCTCTCCTACATATGTATACATGATATAGGATAGCTATACAAAGAGGTGGCTCTCCCACATTATTCACCATAAGCAGACAAGGCAGAAACAAAACTCTACAGGTTCACATATTCTGTGTTTGGCTATGCATGTAATTGTTCTGATTTCAGCCACAGAGTAAAAGTGCTTGGGGAAAAAGATAAATGGCAAGAGAGAAAAATATACCGTGGGTACATGACTTGGAATGCAGGCTGTGTATTACTGACTATACTATGATTTTCAGTGAGAATGTTGTCACTGTGTTTGATGACCAATAAAAGAGTCATAAAAATATCAAAATAAAGAAATAGCTGTAGAAGGAAAACCAGGTGATGGGTTTCTGAGGTAAACTATCTTTGTTCTGTAAGTTAGAAATGTTTACTATATTTTGTAATTATTATTTTTTTACTGTTACAACTAAGATTTAGTAGAAATCTTTGGAAAAGTTCAGAAAACATGTACCCAGCAGACTATTGGACCAATGTTGTAAATGTAAGCAGTTCTGTTTGCATCTAGTCAAATCCTCATTTTTATGATTTTGTGTAGTGCTACCATAATGAAGCTGACAAGTCTGGTCTATTCTGAAAGATTAGTTTTAATGTCTTGCTTGCCCTGAAATGAAGAGAACTCACCAACCATTTCTTGAGAAGGGGATGAATGAATGATGTCATCCTTAAAACCTGCTTCAATTCATGACAAATTAACCTCTATCCACAAAGCCTAATTTAGCAACATCATACATGAAGTAATTTGGGAATATGGTTTAATCATAATGAAATCAATGTGTTTATGGTGTCCTCTAAAAACAAATGGGTATATCTCTGTGTGCCTTTAATTGCAGAAATAACTATTACTGTAGGAATGTTATTTTTATAATAAGAACATCTGGATATTAAATGGATTATTTTGGGTGATATTCAACTTCGTGTTTTCTTTTAGAGAGAAAAGTCTGGCTTCCTTTCATAGGCCAAACTGCTATCAAGAAAATGCTTATTAATGTTTTTCTTTGAATTTTACTATTTTTGGTAACTCTGCAAACTTTCATTCATTTTTTTTTAAAATCCATTGAAATTTCTTTCCTATGAGAGGGGTAGTGATACTTCACTGGAATGTAAATTTATTAAGAAGGAACCCAAAATGAATGAAATGTGGTCTCTACATGGGCATAAGGCTTACATCAATGGATAATGTGGTAAAAGTAATAGAAAAATTAGGAATGTGATGTAATTATTACAACTGCAATTATTTATAGATAAGAATTGCAAATGCATTAATTATCTGGTAATATAGATGAATTGAAGCAAATATTAATGGTTATTCCCAGGTGTATACCTTGTTCATGTACATTTGAAACAGTTTTTTTCAAAAAGAGAAATCAATAATTTCCTGTTGCTATTCTTTCCCCAACCATAGAGGATTGTTTGGGGTAAATAGTTAGCTTCCAGTAAGTCTTAAATTAGTAATTATTTTTTTTTCCGGTCTTGACACGCTAGGTAGAAGGATCACTTTGCTTGTTTATTTATTGCCTTACCTTTCACCTCTTGTAGTCAGCTTCCTGAAACTGGATTTTGAAACCTCTGTTTCCTGGAAGAGCCAGAATAGTATAAATATTTATTTTTTCGAAGCTGATGAGAATGTCAATTGTTTCAAAGTAGTGATGCAAAGCATGCCATAGGTTCGCCACCACGGCCATAAATGGTAAAAAGATCTGGTGATTCAAGCTCAATCACTGTGTAGCAGGGTGAGCTCCTGTTACTTGCCTCAGCTTCTGTCCACCTAACAGTTCAAAAGAATGTTCTGTGAAAGTAGATAGATAAGTACCACACTGGTGGGAAGACAAACTGGTACTCTTTCCAAGCTGACAAATTCCTGATTGCTCTGAATCTTCCCAGTTGCCCTGCCTGTTTGTGAGGGAAAAAAAAGATCTTGCAAAGTTGGAATTGATTGATTGAACTTTTTAGTGCCAACCAGTCTGCCGTTACCACTGCAGCCATGCCCACAATGGGTCATGCCCACCCAATGGGTCATGGCCACCCAATTGGCCACACCCAGCCAATGGGCCACACCCACCCGGCACTCGACAATGCATAGGTGGGTTTTGGGTTGCAGTTTGGGCACTCAGTCTCTAAAAGGTTCGCCGTCACTGTCTTAGATCCTTGGTTAGGGCTTGAACTGTTAAGTTTTTACCAGACTGTGAATTAAATTGAAGATTAAATCAATAATAATAATAGCAACAACAACAAAAAGAACAAAAACAATAACATAATTCCGGAGTGTGATAATTTATGTTTTTATCAAAATAATGTATAAAGGCTAATGTCAAAAATACAGAACAAGCACAAATAATGTTGCTCTTTTTTGTTGATATGTTTTCCTTTATCCTGATATAACACAAATATATTTCTGTCTGCTGCTATATAAGAATCTTGACTCTCATAAATAACATATTGCAATTATTTATAAGACAAAAAGGGTCAACTTTTGTACATGTTTTATGACTTATGAAGATTTTCTGGTGTTTTTACAGGCAAAGGTATTGTGGTTCTTAAAGTTTATACACATTTATATTTATTGCAGGTGGGACAGCATCAAGACAGAAAGGATTTTTGGGATGCATCCGTTTTTTACAATTAAATGGCAGAGCTCTTGATTTGGAAGAAAGAGCCAAAGTAACCCCTGGTGTAAAGCCAAGTTGTCCTGGACATTGTAGCAGCTATGGTAACTTATGTCACAATGGAGGAAAATGCAAAGAGAAATATAATGGATTCTCTTGCGATTGCACTTTTTCTGCATACACAGGGCCATTCTGCAAGAAAGGCAAGCATAAATTGTAAATTTATTTTACGTACAATATCAAAGGAAAACATTGTTTATGTGTTACATTATTTTAAAAGATGTCCACTTGGGATTACACAGTTCTGTCTTTATGACATTATATTTGGAACTCCAGATGCTGACAATATTTTTTCTCCTTCCTTAACAGGCTCTAGTAGTGGCTTTTACTAATGTGTAGGTCCAAAACCATCCTGCTTTCTGAAATACTGCCAAATTAATATATAGTTTATGTCTATGTTTTTGTTAAGTAATATAGAAATTAATAAAGAATACTGGGAGTAGATAATAATAATAATAATAATAATAATAATAATAATAATAATAATAATAATAAAGTTGGAAGGGACCTTGGAGGTCATCTAGTCCAACCCCCTGCTCAGGCAGGAAACCCTATACCATTTCAGACAAATGGCTGTCCAGTCTCTTCTTAAAAACTTCCAGTGTTGGAGCATTCACCACTTCTGGAGGCAGGTTGTTCCACTGGTTAATTGTTCTAACTGTCAGGAAGTTTCTCCTTAGTTCTAGGTTGCTTCTCTCCTTGATTAGTTTCCATCCGTTGCTTCTTGTCCGGCCTTCAAGCGCTTTGGAAAATAGCTTGACTCCCTCTTCTTTGTGGCAGCCCCTGAGATATTGGAACACTGCTATCATGTCCCCCCCTCGTCCTTCTCTTCATTTGACTAGACATACCCAAAGAGCGCAAACACTATTTTCACACTTTTGTCCTAACATTAGACTAGCAATCAAGAGTCAAACAATACCAGTCAAAGAACTACTAACTCAGACAGAACAGACTGGAATAACAGAGCTGGAAGGGACTTTGGAGGTCTTCTAGTCTAACCCCCTGTTCAAGCAGTAAACAATAGCCCAAGGAACTGCCAAGATCATTCTCACCAATTCTGACAGGTAAAGCCATTAGTATAGAAAATGAAAACAACCCCCCTCCCTACTAGCACTGATGTTGTTGCCTAGTTTGGTAAGGAAATATATACACAAAAACAACCAAGCTCAGAGAGCACCAAGGACAGTACTGTTATAAAGGAAGTTAAACCAAAATAATCAGACCAATTACTTTGGAATGATAGAAAATGAAAACATATCTGTCACTCCATTATGTGTTCTACAAAAACATAAGTACAAGGTGAAAACAGTTCACTTAACTAATCTATTCATAAGCTGGAAACTAACTTTCCTTAACTTCTTGCTTCAAAGCATGCTGACCATCATTGTTAAGGTTCTTAAATAATATATGTTCTTTATGTTTTTATACCTTAATGCTTAAATAATAATGATTATGTTATTATTTCTTTCTTTTGGGAAACATTCTTTTGGGATCATTGCTATAATAAATGACATGCTTTATTTTGGGTTTATATTAAAAACAAAAAACAAAAATCCATGTTGTTTCAGAGATATCTGCATATTTTGGAGCTGGTTCATCAGTAACATATAACTTTCAAGAATCATACAGTGTTGCCAAGAACTCGAGTTCCCATGCTGCTTCCTTTCATCCTGATATGATGCTAACCAGAGAAGTAATCACATTGAACTTTCGAACAACACGGATTCCAAGTTTACTTCTTTATGTAAACTCATTCTACGAGGAGTATCTTTCAGTTATTCTTGCCAAAAATGGTATGTACTGTTAATAGGTATAGTAGCAAAGCTACCATTAGTTAGCATTTTGCTTTGGAAATTACATGTTTAACATGATAGTTTCTTCAGCAGATACTTGACTTCACTACTCTGATTATAATGTTACCTTATTAAAGATTTATGTTTGGTGGAAGGAAATATATAAATCACCCTAATATATAGTAAGGTCAAATATGATAAATAGTAGGTCAGTTTTAATAGCGATCATCCATTCCTTTAAGAATGTCAATACTGCTTTAGACAGAACAATGCTGTGGTTTTTTTTTCAAGAAATAATAAAAGAATTAGTACCAAAATGTTGTTATTCAAGGCTACTTGCATGTAACTGCTTTTTTTAAAATTTTCTTTGAAGAATTGCTGTGGCCATTTATCAAAAGTATTGAAAAATTAAAATGTATAATGTATGAAATGTTATAATGTTAAAACATGTAATTATCAATACTGAATGTTCAATATGAATGTTAAATTATTGGCATCAGTTTTTAAATTATTACATGAATAGAATACAATTAATAGAGGTTTTGCTAGCTAAATACTTTTAAATCGAACTGGATGCCTAATAAATAGTATTTTTTTTCAGCTGTCATACACTCTTTATTTATGTTGATGAAATAAATGATGCTGTCTCCTAATGTATTACTTTTCCAGCTCAGTTTTATTATCTAGCAGATATTTAAACTATTATTTTCAGGAAAAAAAACATTTTTTTTCACATTTGTGTGGGTGTTTTTTTGTGTGTATCATCATGAAACTAATGTATTCTCTATCCTCTTAGGAAGTTTACAGATCAGATATAAGCTAGATAGCCATCGAGATCCCGATATCTTTAGTATCAATTTCAAAAGTATGGCTGATGGGCAGCTTCATCGTGTAAAGATTAAAAGAGAGGAAGAAAAACTATTTGTGGAGGTAATGCCAGAAAGAACAAAGGATCGGGATATTACTAAAGAGGGAAAGCATAAAAGATAAACACATGCATTGATTTAATTAATTCATGTAGCATTGTGCTTTTGCGTGAATTGCAGAATTCTGGCATAGAGATATTTTTGATATTTACCTACAGTATACTCTCTATTTATTTGCAAATAACTACCGGTATGTTATGTTGACTCTTACAAAGCATTTGCAAATAGGCAGTTTAACGGGTGGAAGCAAATGTGGAATCTTTTCATCTCCACTTACCCTTTTCACCCATTAGTAAGGTGACCCACTTTTTTACAATGAAAAGGAGGACACAAATAAATTGAAGAAAAAAATATCGTAAATAAAAGAAACATATCATTCATTGCAACAATAATACAGACAACTTGCATGTGCAAAGTTTGCCAGCCAGGTGTTTTGGCGCGCTGAGCAGCAATTCTTATTGGCTTTCGAAAGCCAATAGTGGGAGTAGCACAGCTCATGCAAAAGTTGAAAAAAAAAAAACATCAAAAAAGGTGCCAGAACGCCGTTCTGAGCATTCTATGAGGGAAAAAAAAAAAAAGCCCTGCTGATTAGTCTTCAAATATCGAAAAGGAGGACATGAAGGAGGACACTTTTTGAGGGAGGACAGAACTTACAAAAGGAGGACTGTCCTCCCTAAAGGCGGACGGTTGGTCACCTTACCATTAGTCAAAATGAAACTGTGTCTTGGATTAAATCCTGAGGGTTTGAGATGCAATTACTTTTGATACCTGTCTCCTTGGCAAATACCAACTTGATTTTTTTAAAGATCTTTAGAAGCTGTATTTATTTGCCTAGGAACAATGCTTGGAGATCAGAATGATACAGCTGTATCATTGTACAGTATGTCTTCTATAATTCAGCTACAATTGCTTATCAAGACCTTAAGAATTTTTTAGATATGTTTAATCTTATGTTTTGGTGAATATATATATATGTACAATTTTTATCTTGTCATTTGTTTGATTTGATTATTTTTAATGCTTAATTGCATTCTTTGTTAGCATTTGTGTTTTATTCTATTTTAATATGTAAATCACATTGTGATTTGTTATGAAGAGCAATATAACATTTAAATAAAAATAGCTAAACTGATAGATATAGCCCTAGTGGTATAGTGGTTAAGGCATCAGGCTAGAAACCAGGCGATGGCAATTTCTAGTCTCAGGTACAAAGCTAGTTGGATGACCTTGGGCCAGTCACTTTTTACTAAGCCTAGGAAAGAGGCAACCACAAACCATCTCTGAAAAATCCTGTCAAGGAAACTGCAGGTTATAGTCCAGGCAGTTGCCAGAATTTTTTTTTTTAAAATGTACGTTCCTTCTCAGATAAGTAAGAACTTTATATTTAGAAAGGAAACTGTATCAATTATACTGAACTTCACAATGCATAAAAAGAAGCTACCAAAATGGATTAATTTAAAAAGGTGTTAGGAAGATGAATGCAAAGTTGTGTAGGAAACTATCACCTTCATTTTAATGAATGACACAATATTGTGGCTTTCTTCCCTTAAATGTTCTGACATAAGTAACAGGCTTTTCTTTCCTTTTTCTATTTCTCTTTTCCCTCCCATAATTCTACGTGGGACCATATTAAAGGTTAACCAGCACGAAAGGATGAAATTCTTTCTGTCTTCAGATACTCAGTTCAATGCAATCAAGTCTCTCGTTCTTGGCAAGATACTTGGTAAGTATAGTGCAAAAGATAAAGTATCGTCTGATTTGTAGTTAGAGATAGATATAAAATAATAACCTTAATCTTGTTGAGAAACATTTCTTTTTCGCATTTGATTAGGCAGAGAGTGACAATCAAGGTGGAAGCTTCATTCTTGTCAAAGTGCATATATAATCGCTGGTAAGTGCTTCCAGCAAGATGAGCAAGTGGATCCCATTAAAAATAATTTCATACTTATCTTTTCCATTTTGCAATCAGACATAATGAAAGACGGCATTTTTAGTGCAATCTAACAAAGAAAAAAGGCTAAATCACATTCAAATTATAGGTAAAGACAATGAATGGGTTGCTCCAACTCCAAGAATTCTTTCCTTTTGAACAATATGCTCTAGTGCAGTCTTTTTCAACCTTGGTAACTTAAGATGTGTGGACTTCAACTTCCAGAATTACACAGTCAGTAAGGTTGAGAAAGTCAGAAAAGTTCTGTTTCCAAATGGATTCACCCATAGAGATTGATCAAGATATACGTGATACTGAAAGACACATGATGAAATCATAGTCATGACACTTAAGTATGTGGTATTCTATTCAGCCCAAACCATCAGTCATCTTTATTTGATGTCAGGAAGGCAATATGAGACTGCAAAAGAATGCAAACAGTTAAGTTTGCAGTTTACTTGCTGCATGAAACATATCTAACACCTACAAGGGTACTAGTTATGTTCACCGCTTTGAGTTGATCAAATATTTTTAAAAAGGAGGGCAGGATAAAATAAATCTAATAATAATTATTATAATAATAATACCTGTTAACTTCTTAATCTGTGTTTTAAAGCTTAATGTGTAGCTTAATGTGTTTCAGTAGAACACATCAAACATGAACAACAAATAAAATCTCAGCTGACTCGTAAAATCAGACAATAAAATTAATGTTATGGAAATACTCAGGATTGGAATAATTGTATTGTTTTTGTTCTGTTGTTTTGGAATGAAGACATTAAAAAAAACAAATTTTAAAACTTTTTTTCCTTCTCTCCTTGATATAAAATCTCCTGTTTTTCTTTTTTCAAAAAGTATATGAAATATTACCTTTGATCTAGAGATCAGTTGGATAGTACAGTGTGTGCAGGCAAAAAGTGATTTTTTCATCCCTATCTCTTTATTTACTCCTCTGAAAAGCTGCTTCTGCAGTTCTGAATAAACCTCTTTTTTAAGCAGAGAAGAATAATGATAAAAATTAATCCAGGCAATTTCTGGGGGCTGCCTTCCCATTTAAAGAACATCAATGTGCCTGATTTTTATTTTTACAATTTTCAAAGACTGAGCATATAAATAAATAAATAGAGATAGAGATAGATAGATAGATAGACAGACAGATAGATAGATAGACAGACAGACAGACAGACAGACAGACAGACAGACAGACAGACAGACAGACAGATAGATAGATAGATAGATAGATAGATAGATGATAGATAGAGAGATAGAGAGATAGAGAGATAGATAGAATACAAACGCCTTATCTGTCATTGTTTCATGGAAAAAATATTGATCGGGTAGTGCTGATGCTCAATATCAAACTGAGGATATGTGACTAAGGATGTGTATGCATGTAAGTGGTGCATAGTAAAGTGGTGGTTGAGCACATAGTAATATTCCTCAACTACTCAGTAGTAACTAAAGCAGAGAGGTCTAATCTTGAAAACTTGTGGAATTCCTCCCCCAGAATTTATCAGCCAACCATGTTTAAAGTTGCAAAGGTTGGACACTCCTGACCTAAAGCATATTTGACAAATATCTTACAAGCTTGATGTGATGTCTTGATGGCCACTCTATCCTTTGGAATAGTGGCCATCCAAAATCCACATACCCATGGTCCTGTTGTTATATAGCCATTAAAAATGGTTCTTTTACCAGCTTTCAGGTAAAGAAATGTGTGAACTTATATTGATATTAATGTTTTATTCATAGGTTATATATGGTTGTATCTTCACTAGTATAATAATATAGATTATTTATCTGTATCATGTTTAATGCTAAACATTATTTAAAGTCACACATAAATAATTCAATGTTCATTTTTTTATTAGTCACACAAGAACCAAGGGGGGATTTTAACAAATAGAATCATGGGAATTTGGATTCTGCTGGAGGATCCTTTAAATCAGTGGTCGCCTACATTTCCAGCTCTGCGGACTGGCAGTGGTGGTAGCAACTGGGGGGAGGGAATGGTTTTGCACACGGGCAAATGGAGCTTTGTGTACTCTCCCACCACTTGTGCAGTCTGGTTCCCAATGGGCCACAGATCAGTACTGGTCCATGGACTGGGGGTTGGGGACCCCTGCTTTAAATGAAGAAGTAATCAAATCAAAATAGCCAGATAAGAACAGAAGCAGTATAGCATTATTAAAAGTATAGCCATCAATGGAATGGAATGGAATTGGAATGGAATGGAAAGGAAAGGAAATGAAAGGAAAGGAAAGGAAAGGAATGGAATGGAATGGAAAGGAATTGGAATTGGAATTGGAATTGGAATTGGAAAGGAAAGGAAAGCACAATGTGTTATTAATGAACTTGCAAAAAAAAACCCTCTTTCATCAGCCTTTCACCATCCACTGCTGAGCTTATTCTGTAATGAAAACAAATGAAGAAAACATCTAGTACTTTTGTAGGTTCATCCCCTATAGAAATCGCCCAACAGTCCAGGATGAAATGATCACTGAAGGGCAGAAACAACCAATTAGATCAAGGGGCTAGCCTGACTACATTACCCAGTAATTAACTGAAAAGGAAATATTTTCATTCAATGAAATGCAGCACATTACTACGTTTGCTTCAGAAGTCAGAAAACATTGTGGGTAGAGGTTACTTTGTCATGAATTCAAGCAGGTTTTGAGGATGACATCATTCATTCATCCCCTTCTCAAGAAATGGTTGGTGAGTTCTCTTCATTCCAGGGCAAGCAAGACATGTTGGATTAGTCAGGAGAGATCTTAGCCTTGTTGAGGTATCCTTTATACAGACTTAACGTGCAAGCATTTCAGACAATTCCCATTTTCTGCTAATGTTACTTCAAGTCTGTGACTCCAATACACATGTTCACAATATCTTCCCCTTTGCAGATTTGTACATTTAGGGTACTCAGGTTGCTATAGCAGCCATCAAAATAAAATTGGTGAGGATAGGAGGAATAACCAGATACTCAACCTGTGAGACTGAAATGATTAATGGAGGCATTAATGTGATGCAAAGCGATTCTTTTTAGGTCATAAGAACCTTTGGTAATTGAAGAACTAAACATAGACCTTTTTCTTCTTTATAAATCTAATGTTTGGGAGGACTATGGATAGAATAGACCTCTTTTAACACTATAAGGAATGTGACCAGAAGAGGCAGGAAAGTTAGCATCTTGCTTTCTGATATAGGGCAATGACTTCAATTAATTTGGGCTCGGAAAACATATGGCTGATTCTACTTTATAAAGAGTTCACATTCAGATTGAGTCAGTCACTGTTGAGCATGAAAATTAATAGCTGTGGCCCTAATTAATTCAGCAACAAGTGTCTTGCCTCTTTCCCTCTAAGCATTCTTAGAGAACCTTCTGTTCTAATTAGCAGATCTTACTGACCTATTAGCCGCTTTGGGAAGTTGTACAATTTACTTCTATTACATCCAAATGGATAATGTTTGGCATAATTTAACTTGATTTCAGCTATATGGAAGCAGCATATTTTATATTCCTAGTAGTATAGTTCAGAAAAGAAATAATACTACTTAAAATAAAAATATAATATTTGATTTAAGAATTTGCTATGTGAAACTCAAAGGTAAAGCAAAAGAAAATATTACATTAAGTACACGTATCTTCTTAATTACATTAATTTACAGTTAAGTAACATTTTGGGGAGTAACAATAATGAATAGATTGTTATTACCGAATAGATATGAACTATTACAAATATGCTTGTTATGAACAATTTCAGCAGCAGTGTAAAAGGTCATGCAAACAAAATGAGTCAATATAAAATACATACTTTATAGAAATATCTAAAATCAAATTTATGAATCTGCCAGCCAGCAATCTACCATAATTTTTATTTAAATTGCTCTACTGAACATTCTGTAATGTGTTACTGTATTAATATGTTAACCTCTGATAAAGAAATGATTATTGGTTCCTTGTTAAGGTCCTTAAGAAGAATGAGTGTGTCTTCATTTTCTAAGTACCTTAAGTATAAATAAACTACCACAAAGATCAAGTCAAAGTGATAGGATTCCTATAGATCAGCGGTTCTCAACCTGTGGGTCGTGACCCTTTTGGGGGTCACACGAGCCTTTCACAGGGGTTGCCTAAGACCATCGGAAAACACATATTTCTGATGGTCTTAGGTAGGGCTTGTCAACCGCCTTCTCTCCCTCCCCCCCTCCGCTCCACTTCACTTGTTTGTGGAAAATATGCTGCTTGGCAGCAGTCTGCACGAACTCTACCAAATGTGCCCTGCAGGGGGCGCATGAAGAGCGCAGGTGCAAAGCTGACCAAGTGAGCTGGGCGGAGCTCTCCTCTGCCTCTGGCAGCCTGTCCCCCTCCCCTTGTCCCTTCCTGGGCACGGAGGGGGGGAGGAAGGAAGGGACAAAGAGGGAGGGAAGTAAGGGACAATGAGAGAGGGAAGGAAGGAAGGAACAATGGAATGGAGGGAAGGAAGGAAGGGACAAAGAGGGAAGGAAGGAAGGAAGGAAGGAAGGAAGGAAGGAAGGAAGGAAGGAAGGAAGGAAGGAAGGAAGGAAGGAAGGGACAATGGGAGAGAGGGATGGAAGGAGGAAGAGACTAAGAAGGAGGTGAAGGAAAGGAAGGAAAGAAGAAAGGAAAGGACAATGAGAAAGAGGGAGGGAAGGAGGAAGAGACTAAGGGAGGTGAAGGAAAGGAAGGAAAGAAGGAAGGGACACTGGGAGAGGGAGGGAAGGAGGAAGAGACTAAGAAGGAGGTGAAGGAAAGGAAGAAAAGAAGAAAGGGAGGGACAATGGGAAAGAGGGAGGGAAGGAGGAAGAGACTAAGAAGGAGGTGAAGGAAAGGAAGGAAAGAAGGAAGGGACAATGGGAGAGAGGGAGGGAAAGAGGAAGAAACTAAGAAGGAGGTGAAGGAAAGGAAGGAAAGAAGGAAGGGACAATGGGAAAGAGGAGGGAAGGAGGAAGAGACTAAGGGAGGTGAAGGAAAGGAAAGAAAGAAGGAAGGAAGGGACAATGAGAAAGAGGGAGGGAAGGAGGAAGAGACTAAGAAGGAGGTGAAGGAAAGGAAGGAAAGAAGGAAGGGACAATGGGAGAGAGGGAGGGAAAGAGGAAGAGACTAAGAAGGAGGTGAAGGAAAGGAAGGAAAGAAGGAAGGGACAATGGGAAAGAGGGAGGGAGGGAGGAAGAGACTAAGGGAGGTGAAGGAAGGAAGGGAGGGAGGGAGGGACAATGGGAGAGAGGGAGGGAAGGAGGAAGAGACTAAGAAGGAGGTGAAGGAAAGGAAGGAAAGAAGGAAGGGACAATGGGAAAGAGGAGGGAAGGAGGAAGAGACTAAGGGAGGTGAAGGAAAGGAAAGAAAGAAGGAAGGAAGGGACAATGAGAAAGAGGGAGGGAAGGATGGCAGGCACCCACCCCAGTCCCATCCCAGAAACCCACAGATTTCCCTCCTCCCACAGGCACTCTGCAACCTGAGTGATCAGCTGGCCACGCCCCCTGGCCATTGATCACATGACCCTGGGACACTGTGAACATCATAAGTATGAATCAGTTGTCAAGCATCCGAATGTAAATCACATGACCCTGTGGATGCTGCAACAATCATAAGTGTGAAAAATGATCGTAATTCGCTTTTTCAGTGCTATTGTAACTTCAAACAGTCACTAAGCGAATTGTTGTAAGTCGAGGACTACCTATACTTTCCCATTTTTTTTCTCTTTTTTTTGGTCAAGTTTTTGATACCCCCTCCCCCAGCCAGCTGGATGGGGGGTTGGGGGTCACCACAACATGAGGAACTGTATTAAGGGGTCGCAGCATTAGGAAGTTTGAGAACCACTGCTATAGATTGATGTTCTTTACATATTTCACTCACTCTCTCTCTCTCTCTCTCTCTCTCTCTCTTGCACACACACACAAACACTCAAAGCTATATAATCCTATTGCTTTTTATCCCAAACTGTATGTTAGACCTTTTCTAAATTCTGAAAAGATCAATTCTCAGTATCTGCTAAGATCATGAAAGAATATATCTAAGTAGATAAGTCTAAAAATAGAGTTGATTATAAAAATGTCCAGACTCTCACTGGCTAAGTTCACACTTGCATTGTCAATTTTATTTCCATGACAATAATTTTATCAAGTGGCACAGAGAACCCGGCCACCAAAAAAAAAAATCATTTAGGGTTCTACATCTGAAAGACTTGGATTTTCCCAATCCTAATCCAAAACCTAATTATTATACAATACTGATTCCATCAACATTGAAATAGTATTGAAACTGGTGTTCCTCAACCTGTTGTCCTTCAAATGTGTTGGACTAAATTCTCAGAACCGCTTTAAAGGTCCTTGCTTCATTCATCCATTTGGAATGTTTTTCTTCAGCTTTCTATTATTACACAAAGATTTGATTTAATAATGCAATGAATGTTCTAATAAGGATGTTATCTGACATGCTGCCACAACTTAATGTAATCTTCACTTGGCATATTAAAGTGGAGCTCTGCATACATTATCCTATAGATAGAAAAAAATAGCATACAGGTGTATACTAAAACAATAGCAGTGATTACCACCATCAAAAGGCTTTGTTTAAAATAAACCTACAACATTTGCAAAAAAATGGATTTGTAATAGATTATAGAATATGAAACAGATTTGATTTTTTAATGAAACAATGTTTGGCATTAGCCTGCAGGGAAATGTGTGCTTAGCAGGATTATATTTTCCCCAGTGAATGTTATCCGAGTCAGAATGTATTAGAATAGTTTTATTCATCTGAGTTTTTCACTATTCAAACTGAGAATAAGGTAATATGAAAATAATTCTTATGCAAGTAAAGCTTTAGTCAAACTATTCTATTTGTGCAAAGAAATACATGTTATTGAAGAAAAAAATTAAAATAGAATGTTCACAACACTAAAAAAGTATTTGCAATTTGTAACATTTAAAAGACTTTGACTTGAACATGGCTTGAATATGTGGAATAAAGCTTCCACAGCTGTGTGTACAAATGTGTAGTAGATACTGATTCCTACAATTGTTTCTTATTTATTCAGTATTTTGGATGGAGGAAAATTTATTTCACCACATGAACAGAATTTCTTATTTATGCTTAGGAACTTACTGTGTAACTTGATATCTTTTCTAGCGAACAAATTGTTGTTGTTTTTTTAAAGTGTGGAATGTATTTCTTGTGTTTTTATTAAAGCAGACAAAAAATAGGTAAATTTGCCTCTGCTGTCATTGCACGCAGAAACTCTGAGGAATAAAGGTTAATTATTCAATTATTTGTCTGCCCCTTTGTTCTGTGTGTTTCCCAATGATTAATTGTGTACGGTTTCTTTTTATTATCAGAGAATGGTGATACAGATCCAGATACTCTGAAGGCAAATTCTCATGGGTTTATTGGGTGCCTCTCTTCAGTACAATTCAATCATGTCGCTCCTTTGAAGGCTGCTGTCCACTTTCCCAGCTCAGCTCAAGTCATTGTTAAAGGACATTTCATGGAATCCAACTGTGGGACATTAACAGGAGCTGATACAACATCAAGTGAAACAACCCATTCATTTGCAGGTACTAAGCATAAGACTTTCATTAATTTTGTTCTCTGAAAAAGAATACTTGACAATGTTTCAGAAAGTCAGTCATTTTTTTATGTGCCAGAAGTGCATATATGGTAGGCTTTTCTACAAATCATCATTTTTTGTCAGTTCCTATATTGTATGCTTATGGGTGTGTGTTCTTCACATATACCATGTGGCTTCCAAGCCAATCCTTCATTACTTGTTCATAGTTTTGTATTAATCTTTTAATATGTGTGTCCCTAATTTATAATTCTGTGTTATACCTAACACCTATAGCAGTAGATATAGTCATCTCTGTTGGATCGGTGGACTAAAATGCAGATATATTGAGATTCCTCTTCTCTGTTTGTCTCTGCATTTTTCTTTTTGTTTTTTTGCACAGATCATTCAGGACCAAGAGATGAAGGAGAGCCATTAGCTAATGTAATAAGGAGTGATTCTGCAATTATTGGGGGTAAGAGGAAATGTAATTGCATTGTAGGTACCATTTTAAATATTTAAATTTAAGTGCTGAAGCTGAGCACCCAAATAACTGAATAAGTGTCTACATTGTTAACTTGCTTAACATTGTATACGTGTTTTAGAAACTGATGGAATTAGATTGGATAGTCGCCAATGGTTATATGTCTTCAGATATGTGTTCAAGCTACTGTGGGAATATAGATCCAATTTTTTCCTGAAAATCTCTGAATGGTTCACAGGATTGATTAAAAAAGAAATGCTTTATAAGTGTTTCACTTTCCTCAAACATTTAAGTACATGTTTGTTTATTTTTAAAATCATCCTTCTAGTAATCCTATATTTGCAATAATGGTTTGAGTTCTTGTTGGAAACAGTAACTCACTGAGAAAATGTCTTTTACAATCAAGCTCCAAAATCTGTATACTATATATATATATATATATATATATATATATATATATATATATATATATATATATATATATATATATATATATATATATATATATATATATATATATATATATATATATATATATATATATATATATTATATTGTATTATATAAATATATTGTATATTTATATATAGACAGAGTGGATACATACCCACATAATTCCAAATACCTCTATGGGGGTTGGGACTTTGCAATATAATTTTTATTTTATGCAGCAGCAATGCCAGAGAGTGATTTTGCTTTCTTTCCGATTGTTTGAAATTCCATCTTATTTACTGTATATATACTAATTTTCCATGTTAAACCATACTGATGGAATTTCAAAACAGTATCAGAAGACGTAGAGTATATTATATAGCAACACTTCAAGATTCCTTATTCTTCTCTCTTTATATTTGGCTAAAATACTTATGGTAGTCTACAGTATTTTTGGCAGGTTTCCCTTCAGCTGTTCTTTAGATATAATCTAGGATTGAATTATTTGGATTTTAATACATCCCTAACTCCACCAGGTTTCAGCAAGGTAAATACTCAACATATAAGTTCAAAAAGCTTTATTCATACAAGATTGCAGCCTTAAATTTTCAATTAGAAAAAGATGAAAACAGTAAGTTCAGAATGCATAGGAAATTTCCATTCCAAAAGAATTCAATTTTAGAAGAATGTCACCTGAAGACTAGAGATAGACTGTATATGAATTGTGAATAAGTTATTCATATCATCTATTGCTAGCATTTTTAGAGAGTACCCTATTAATAGCCCAAGTCAGCATACTTCAGGATATATGCACCAGTGGAAGAAAGACAAAATTAGATCATGAAGACTCTTTAGAGTGAAGAATAACTCAAGGAGTATTACTGGATTACGTTGGTGACAGTTATTTGTAACATTATCTCAGTGCCAGATACTGTTATGGTAAGGTTAGTGAGTTATGCAATTCATACAATACATTTCTAGAATGACAGTACTGTGCTAGTGAAAAGAAATTTTCTTGTAGCTACAAGAAAATGTAATTAAGCCTTAGTGAGATCTGTTTATGCTTAATGAAGATTCCACCATGCTCATAAAGCTACCACCTGTCCTGTTTTTACTTCTAGTATAAACTGGGGTACAATTATACACATGTCAAATTAAAGAATAAACAATTGTAATTGTACTCCAGCTGTACTCGCTTCTATGTCCATGTATTGATGATTTCAATATTAATTGATAACTTGTTCATACTCATTACGATGTTTGTCTCCATTATACATGCATAAATCAGTAGGTCGTGAAATAATGAAAGTTTGGGAATCTATAATTTAATAACAGCCAGAATAAAGAAACATAATCAATTTTAGACAGCCAGAATATTATGTAATACAAAAGTATAATTGGCTAATGGGTACTATAAAAAATTACTTCATAACATTTTTAATTACCTCACAGTAATGAGATGGGCACCTATATAAATTTAATAAATCTATATTCTACTAAAACTAAGTCATTATTGTGACTTTTAACTGGGTGAAACACTGCCTCAAAGGACAACAGTGTTTGAAAGTAGGTATTTCAAATGGGCTAACCTACAGAATGTGTGAAAAATCCAAGACCCATGACTTTCAAAGAAATGAAATTTGGGAAAGTTTTGGCTATTTCAATGCTACTGGCTATTGTTGTGTTTCTGTTATGGTTATTAGATCTTTATTTTCAACATTCTGTGACAATTTCCCAGTCAATCTTGCAATCCTTTGATCCTAGTACATACTTACTGGAAAGGGGAGGAGAGGGAAGGAAAGGGGGAAGAAAGGGAGGGAGGAGATTTCTGGTGCTTCCTGCCAGGTTCTCAAAAGGAAACTCAGTGGGGAAAATGGTAGTCAGAAGTTGCTCCTTCTCCCGTTGTTTGCCCTTTGTCATTATGTTTAGAAATATCTCTTAAATGAAGAACTAATGGGGCAGAGGTTTTCTAGTAAATACAGTAAATAAAATGTACTGAAAATCTGGATCAGTTCTTATCATGTGGTTATACATATTTTCTTCTAATATCCATATTATAATGTGTTCCTGCACAGCTTCCCCTATAAATCTTTTATTTAAATGGTTTGTTGTTCCAACATAATTTAGCCCAATGGTTTGTAGATGCATCATAACGTATCCAAATGTGGAATAAATATTGTTTGGGAACTTCCCTGATTAATACTGACATTTACTCAATGTTCCCAAATAAATAGTTTTAATAAATTCTTTCTGGCAGAGACAAGTAGGTGGCAATGGATTTCATTTTGATGTTTTTTTTGCAATAAAAGATTTCTTTTAGATAATTGCCTAAAAGAAGCTTTAAAAAAATCACACATATATAAAAGTGACCTTAAAATTATGTTTGTGTTTTGATGTGGAACCTTTTTCTATTATGGATAGAAGAGAATATTTGTAGCTCAGGAGAACTATGTAGTCCTTGGTGCTCTCTGAGCTGGTTTTTTTTTTTTCCTTGCAGGCATTTCATTACCAAACTAGATAACATCATCAGTAACAACTTGCAATGTATTCTAGGACATTCTTACATGAAGATAGCAACATATTCTCTAGTATAAAGAGCTACAAGAATTGTTATAATTATGTCATTTTCTTGATGTATTACAAAGTATACTTTGTTATTTTCTTTTCTCTCCCCAGGTGTGATTGCTGTAGTGATATTCATTCCACTTTGCATTGTGGCTGTTGCTGTACAGATTTATAAAAAGAAAAATGTATATATAAAAAAGGAGGTGCAGGGATCAGAAAATGAAGATGGTGCAGAGACTGTCCTGAAAAATGAGATCGGCGTGAAAAATACAATCAATGAAAATCAAAAAGAGTATTTCTTCTGATTTGCTTTTCTGATCTAGTTTAACAAGAATAAAAGACAGTCTGACTTATTTGCTAACCAAGTTCTCAACCAGAAAAAAGAAAGAAAGAAAGAAACTGTTGCATTCAAAGAACACACAAAATAGATTGGAAATCTATTAAATGGTGTTTAGTCTTGGTGTTTGCTATGGCAAGCCTCTTTAAATGACATGCATTTCTTAGCTATTATAACATAGATGCATTTTATGTAAGAGTGAATTAGATATTGTAACCAATCCCATTGTTGGTAGTTTTCAGCCATTCTGCTGTGACTTTCTAAACTGGAGGTTAACTTGCATATACGTATCATGAGTTTTGAATGGTGAAAAAAGGTCAAGTTTTCTTTTCTTCCTTTCAGTCTATTCCTTCCAAGATAATTATTTTTAAAGCAATTTTGTTTAAATATTCTGCGTATTTTCTTCCATACCATTGGACTGTTTTCCAAACCAGAAGTAAGCATGCTTAAGAATTAAGTTTAAGAGTGTAGACCTCCACATTGAAGTGTTTGTGATACTTTCCTTGTCTTTTTTTGAAAAACAACAACAACACACCATTAACCATTATCCTCATCAGCAATTTCTCTCCTGCTTCATCCAACCAATCTATTACACTCTGGTGATGAAGAACTCAATATTATTTTAAAAGCTTGTTTGTATGAGAAATGAAAATCTGATTGTAATACACAGGGATCATAATGAGTAACAGGGTGATAAATAAGGAATCCAAAGCTGAAACTTTCCACAAATTATGACTGGATATCTTTCAGTCTTCTTTTTTTTTATTTATTGAAAATTTTTAAGTTTTACAAAACAATTCCCTTCCCCAAACCCTCCCAACCCTCCCCTACCCTCCCCCGACCTTCCCAGAGCTGAATACAGGCTTAATTAAAAATTTTAAAAAAGATCTTAAGACACATATAAACCATAAGCAAATCTAAATACATTAATTAAACAAATTATAAAATAGTTAACAATAATATATATAAAAAAGGAAGGAAAAAAGAAACAAAAAAGAAAAAATAAAATAAAAAAATAAAATAAAAAGAAAATTAAAAAAAATGTCTGTAAAATATCTTAAATTTTAAATATAAATTATTCCAAAACTAAATAATATTTTTTTATATCCAACTTATATTGAGTGAAATCTATCCATTTTTTCCATACCAGAAAATACTTATCTTGCGATTGGTCTTTCAAGAAAGCCGAAATCTTTGCCATTTCCGCCAAATAAGAAACTTTAAGAAACCACTCTTGCAAGGTAGGCAAAGATTCCTTCTTCCAACATTGCCCTACTAACAACCTGGCTGCTGTAATTAAATTTAACATCAATATAGTCTCTTTACTATCACAATCAGAAACAATACCTAACAAAAACAATTGTGGGGTAAATTTTACCCTTCTTCTAAAAATTCTTTGGATATTCCACCATATCTTAATCCAAAAAGCTTTTATATTTTTACATGACCACCAGATATTATAATAAGTAGCATCCAAACATCCACATCTCCAACATTTAGGCTGCAAGTCAAGATACATACGAGACATTTTTTGTGGATCAAGGTGCCATCTATAAAACATTTTATAAAAATTTTCCCTTAAATTTTGGGCTTGTGTAAATTTAACATTCCTCACCCAAATAATTTCCCAGGTATCTAATGGAACCGGTTCATCAAAATTTTGTGCCCATTTAACCATACATTCTTTAACTAATTCTGCTTCTGAATCCAGTTCTACTAACACCCCATAAATTCTCTTAATATGAGTTCATCTTTGATCTTTTATTTGTTTTAACAAATTCTCATCTTCTCTAAGCAAACCCACGTTACGATCTATCTTCCACCTCTCCACTATTTGTCTATAATGAAACCATGAGTAAATAATATTTTCTTGTGTTAAATCTTCCAAAGATTTTAATTGCCAGTTTTTACCATCCCATGTAAGTAATTGTGCATAAGAAACGCTATCCATCTTGACTCTTCTCCTTATCCCTTCTATCGCATGCCACGGTATGTCCCATATTGGAATTTTAAAATCACTTCTATAATGTTTCTTCCAAACCCGAAGTAAAGAAATCCTTATAATATGAGATTTAAAAACCCTATCAACCTTTTTATTAAAAATTAAATAGGCATGCCATCCAAAAAGTAAATCCCAACCCTCCAAGAGGAGTATTTCTACATTTGTTAAATTAACCCAGTCACTAATTAATGTTAAAACCACAGCATCATAATACAATTTCAAATTCGGTACCTTGAGTCCACCTCTCTCACGAATATCTTGTATAATTTTAAGTTTTACTCTTGGTTTTTGCCCTGCCCAGATAAATTTATTGATACCTTCCTGCCATTCATTTAAATTAACCTCATTCTTTAAAATGGGTATCATTTGAAATAAAAAAAGAAACTTTGGCAGAACATTCATTTTAATCGCCGCAATTCCCCCCAAAAGAGATAATTGCAGCTTCTCCCAATTTTCCAAATCTCTTTGTATTTTGACCCACAGCCTTTCATAATTATTTTTATACAATTTTGCATTAGAAACAGATAAAATAACCCCCAAATATTTTACCTTATTGACAACCTCAAAATCTGTCAACTTAACCAAGGTCTCCTTATCCAAATTAGTCATGTTTTCAGGCAATCTTTCAGTCTTCTTGACATGTAACTACAGCCTGAATGTATAGCAGATTACGATCTTATGTAATATTGAGAAGGGAGGTGCATACACACAAACACATACACACAGAAAAAAACCTCACAAACACTCATATATATGAATGGTGGTTTGGGAAATGATTCAGAAGAAGTGCTTTGGACTCACACAAGGATAGCTTAACAACCCGTTGTTTAATGACTGTTTGATGTTATAACAGACAGAACAAATTATGTACATCTCATCCTCAGTTATAATGTCCGCACACAACCTGTGGCCACATGATCACATTTCAGGCACTTAGAAACCAGCTCACATTTACTAGCAGTTGCAGCATCCCACATTCATGTGACAATAATTTGCTACCTTTTTGTCAGTTTTCAGTGTTTTTTGTTGGTTTCCAGCAGAAAACACCCATTGATTATTTTAACAACCACATTTGCTTAATGATCTTTGCTGAACAACCATGGTGACCTGCTTAATGACCATTGTAAAAATTACTCTAATGACCACAATGATTTAGGATCAAAATTCCATACCCAGTTATGGTTGTTAAATGAAGATTATCTGTATTCTTAAAAGTCATCTGATTTTTTTGTCGCTGCTACTCTTGAACTACCCACTGAAGTTAGTTTGGCTCATAAAGCAGTAATACATAAAGCGGTCTTAAAAAGAAAATATATTTTTATTTATAGAAAAAAATATGATTGTACAAGGTCAAGACCATTTCCGAATAATTTTTGATATTGTAGTTATGCCCATATAGTACACATAAGTCAATTGAAATTATGTTCTGTACTTCCTTAAAAAGAAAAGATTTTCTTTGAGGTTTGAGGTCCCCCATATTTCAATATTCTAGTTTCAGCATTTGAAAAGAGATCAGTGGCAATATTCCATTGTGCAGAACTATATGCTTGAAAACCAAACTCATAATGCTAGCTCTTGATTAGTGTTACAACACAGCACTCAATATCTTACAGCTAAATGTCTGCAAGCTAACTCCAAGAATAGTGACAGGAAGTAGAATATGATCTAGTTCTGGAACTAGCAGGGCAAATCAAGGCAAGACACAATAGCATACAATATACAGGTAGTTCCCAATTTACAACCATTCATTTAGTTACAATGGCACTGAAAAAAAGTGACTTCTGACTGTTTTTCACACAACAGTCTCCACATGGTCATGTGATCAAAATTAAAACTCACTTAACTATCTTGTTTAGCAATGGAAATTTTAGACTCAATTGTAGCTCTAAATGGAGGACTACTTGTACTGCAATTCTAAGTACAATGTTGCTGAGACTAAGGATGCTCATTGGAAATTCTAAGTCAGGGATGTCAACCTGCCAGACTGCGGGCCGGATGCATCATAGTGAAACTGTGCCCACCCCATTGCTGGCAATGGCAAAAAAGTCACAATACGTTGTGACACATCACATAACGTTGCGAGTTGGACACCCCTGCTCTAGGTGCTCAGAGCCAACAAGGGTTCTGTTGGTATGAATGTAACTGGTCTATCTCTAGCTGTTGCATGGTTAGCCCTGCAATTCAACAACAATCAGATCGTAATACTTCCATTGTGGCAGGTACTGTTGAAATATACAACACCTGTATATTTGAAATATTGGCCTGAATATAATTGCTAGAGTCTTAACTTCAACTTCCTTATATTTAACCTTTCGGGGTTTCTGTCATAGTTAACATTGAAGAATAAGGGCCTATATAATTGGCTTCCTCTGTTAGATCTGAGTTATAAGGGATTGTGCTAACAGATCTTTGGCTTCAATACATATGCTGTACATAAGAATTGCTAAGCTACAATAACTAGTTTCACATGAGGCTTAATAATGTCCAAGCTATTATGTAGTGTTTTGTCATCATTATTATTCAAAGTGCATTGTTCTAACCTAGGTAATATATAAATAATACCATTTTTAATCAAATGAGACTTTTGGATGCAGAAATGCTGAAAAAAAACCTTCTTAAATAGAGATGGTATTTTTTTTTCTTAGAGTTTTACTTATATGCCATTATCTAATTTTGGAATTAATGTATGCCAACAATTCTCTTGTCCATTTAGTTGGAATAAATATATAAGATACTGACCTTCTTTCCCCAGTTTCCTATAGGCTCTAAAGTCCTGAGAACTAGTCAAGTTTTTTTGCCTCCTTGTTTCCAGGGGAATTTTCAGAAGCTCTCAAAAAAAGTCAAGAGGGCAGCTACAATCCTTCAATTCAAGGCCTGCCCCCTTTTTTTTTAATGTGCATTGCACAGATAATTCATGTAAACATTCTGCAGTTGCCATTTTGATAATCCCCCCCCGCCACTCCATCACCGTGGATGACCTTATTTCAGCGGTGTCCAACCCTAGTCAACTTTAAAACGTGTGGACTTCAACTCCTAGAATTCCGTGGACAGCAGGGTTAACTGAGGAATTCTGGAAGTTGAAGTCTACAGGTCTTAAAATGGCCAAGGCTGGACATACCTGCGCTATTTCCTTCTGTGTTCTTAAATCAGTACATTGTTCAGACAACCACTGCTTGTCGTTTCCTCCATTTGCTCTCATTTCATCATGATTTTATGCTCCATTTTTATTCTTTCCACTGTTTGCACTCAGCTTATACTGTACCTCCTTCTTATTACAAGCAGCTACTTAAGGGTTTGGGTTTTTGTTTTGTTTTTTGTTTTGCTCAAGCAGAACTTGCCCTCCTTTCTTAGAAGCTACTGTGAATTTCAACTTTACCCAAAAAATATAAATTATTTTGTCGTAATAGAAGAGCAGGTAATGACACCTTCATATCATTTTACATATCACCAAAATGATATGAACATATGATGAAAATGTGTTTTTCTCCATTTATTAACTTTATTTGCATATTTTCATATTTCTTGATCCTAAGTATTGTTTTTGTATGTTAATTTGGGAATAGGTAATATATAACATATTACATTTCCAAATATTATCCCCAAATAATATATTTAAGAAGCTAAAACAAGTGGCAAAGTGAAGATAATATACACAGTCTTATGGGCCAAAACCTACTTCATTAAAAGAACTTCTGCCACATCTATTTGTTACTTTAAAATTGTCATAGTACTTTCTTTGTATATGTTGCCATGCGCATAACTAACCTTATGCAAAATTCTTAATGCAAGCTATTTGGAGAGCAATACCTCTAGCCATCCCTTGTACTCT